ACGCTGCATTAACAAAACAAACGCTAATTTTGTTTGCAAAAGGTGCAGCGGGCTTCAAACAGGTTCCCCTCCACTGGTTTCAACCAAGCACTAAATTCGATGTTTTCCAACCAAATATGGTTGAACTTACACTTCCCCATATTTATTTGTAAGTAGATTCGAAGATACATGAGTTCCTGACTGCCGCTAGCTGAAGCTTGGTTGCTAGGTTACTAGCTGGGTGTTCTCCGATAAGGGGCCGGGGGAAACAAAGTTAGTGATTACGGGTTCCATGTTGATTTATTTCAATACAAATGGTTGGGGGGAACTGAAAGGCTATTACCGTACTGGTTACTTTGCACTCCGGAGTCGGACATTTCCCCCAAAACACATTTAGACGCTATCGCAACCCAGAAGTACCTTTCAAATCCCATCATTTTTAAGACCTTCTAAATTATATTTAAGACCTTTCTTATTTTTTTGGTCATATTTAAGACCTTTTTAAGGCCTTAAATTCAGATTATCAAATTTAAGACTTTTTAAGACTTTTTAAGACCCCGCGGGAACCCTGTATTAACATTTTAAACTGTATACCACGCTTATCTAGGCCCTTTGTTTTGTTTAATGTATACCACGCTTATCTAGGCCCCTTTTGTTTTTTGTATATATGTCACACTGTACACTGTAAAAACTGTTGCTTTGGTAAAACTTAAAAAATATGTGTCAAGCGATTCCAAGCAATTTTAAGAGTTTAGTCAACTTTTGCAATTTTTGAGTTGGTGAAATGTACTTTTTTTAGTTTTCCTCTACTCAAGAATGTGTTACTTTGCTAAAACTTAAAAAATATGTGTCAAGCGATTCCAAGCAATTATAGGAGTTGGGTAAACTCACTAATGTGATTTTTTCTGCATATGAAAAGATGAGATGAGCCTACAATTAAAAGCCCAGATATTAAGTGTAACCAATGCAAATAACAATCTGCTAAGAACCACACGAGAATAAAGTAAATTATAAAACACAATTGAGTTGCCGGAACCTATATACGACAAACTTTTCCTGATTTCAATCCAACCCTTTAAATATTTGATAGCATTGAAACATTGCAGATTAAACAAATAAATTAAAAAAGGGAACGTTATGGACATGTTAATACATTTTATTAAAATGTGATTATTTCAAAACAGTGGTCATAAAAGAGTAACAAGTTTGTTTAAAAGCACAACACATTAACATACATGGAGACACATGGTTATTACTTGATGGTTATAACTGCATCTGGCTCTTGGGCAACGTATCACTTCATGCTGTGCATCACGAGCCTGTTGCACTTCGACCTCTGCTGTTCCCTGTAAATACAAATAAAACACTAAATTGAGTACAAATCAGGACACACCATGTGTTTTCCTCAAAACAAAAATCAAATCCGTCTTGAAAACATAACGAGCCAGTTTACATTAGCTGTTAACAGACGGTAACAGAGGTTGGATTACAAGGGGTTTAAGCCATCAAAAAAAGGCTGGTTTGCAAGAAAATGAACCAAATAGTCATGATATTGATATAGTTCATAAAATGTCCAACTACTTCTTTTTAACCCCACCTCATGCTCAGAGATGTATATAAAGTGGCACATGGGTCCTAGAATAAAAAGAACAGACGATTATTTCAACTTTTATCTTGATAAGTGAGAGCGCAGGCCAGTCTACATGAATGCAGGGCAAGGCACGTGTCTGTCCAAAGGTTCCATGATGGAGTCGATAATGTTTTAAAATATCACTTTGAGTGGTGACACTAGTGCTGCATAGTTTACATCTCCATCCCATCTGTGATTCAAAAAATAGAAATGGGTACGTTTACCTGATGCTCATTATATTAGTATGTAAACATAACACGTCTTGAATTAACCTCTGAAACAACAACTCTGACACACTCAAGGGCTTACCTAATGTGAACCTGAAGTCCATAGCAGGAGGCTAAATGTCTTCAAGAGGAGGTGTGTTTTCTGGTGAGGCAAATGAAAGAACAAAATAGTTACATGATGACAATGTAACAATCATTTCAGTAGAATTCATTAAAACATATTTAATTCAATTAATGGAATCAAACATTAAAACACAATTATCATTTAAAACGGTATTGTATTTATATACATTTATAATGATGGCATTGTTAGATACCAGTACAATTCCATGATTCTCTACACAGCAGATCCTAATTACTTCAATATACACTCCTTTATCTCGTTTGCATACTGTCTAATATCTACTTTATGTTGTAGTAAAACATCTCCTTAATAAAACTGTATTTATTGATATTTCTCGCTAAAGACTGCATTTTACTGTACTACATTGAACACATCTTGCTGACGTTATACATGCTTCCTCGCCCAATATACACTTTTACTGAATTGCGCCTGAATGCACCTTAACTGAAGTCACCTCCGTCACTTTCTACTGAGAGCTAACGTTAACTCTCCTGCAGATTCCAACATGGATAGCGTTGCAAAAGCATGAAAAATATAGTTTGCACTTAATTTTGTATAATAAGAACTCGATGCTGTAACTGCAGACTATGAGTTTAAATTGGGTACACTAAGATTGTTGAAAGATAATTCATTGCTCACAGTAAAACAAACGGCGAAATACATATAGAGGAATTAATATCAAATAGGCGCATTAGTAACTTACTCTTACATAACCGCTGGGTTATAAAGTAGTAGGGAATAGTTTTAACGGAGGTATTTTACCGCACAACATGCACGGCAGGAGAGCCTCTGAGCCCCGCGGCCGCATCACGGTGCCCGGGCCAACGCTTAGAGCAGCGGCACAGGGGAACAGTTTGCGGAGTTGATTCTTAATACATACTCTTAACTTAACCACTTTTAACAGAATTGCGTCGGTAAGCACTTGATGCAAACTTTGCCCAACAACTTTGCGTGAAGAAATAGACTACATGAGCACGACAGGGCTGAGTCTAACTTTAACAGCAGTAATGGCGCTGGCATGCATTAAAATGTCGATGTTTCGTTCAAAACAGTGAATACAAGAAAAGTAAATAACACTTTCTAGTTAAAAAGCAGTAATTAATAACTCAGGTGGCATGCTTACTTGTTTTACGATGGTTTGAGGAGGATCCAACGCAAACACGTGTCCAACTGCTGAAGAACCGCTGCAAAGAGGAACAGGAAGTCTCACACTTTTTTGATTATTATTCAAAATTATTATTCTCGTTTGAGGGCGTGGCATGACCGTGGCGTTGAAAAAAGCATTTTTATTACGTTTTCCAAAACGTCTTTTTAAAGAAAGTTCAGAAAATGTGATATTAATTTACAAATTAATGAGTTCTTAAAACATGTTCTCATTGTTGCTTACGTGTTACTTATTTAAACGCACATTGAAAAAAAACTAATTTAGGGCAAGTAAATTACATAAAAAAATTGAGTTTTGTTGACTTCACCATCGGAACAGTTTTTACAGTGTAGGACTGCGGGAAATGATATTTCGATTTGACTTTGACTTTGATAATAAGAATAATAATAATGCATTTTATTTGTAAAGCACCTTTCATTGCTAAAAGTAATCTCAAAGTGCTACAAGGGGCATCGTACAGTATACTTCTTCTTTTTTTTTTTAAAGAAACACAAGTTTAATAAAAGGCTTTATCTTTCACCTATTAGTAGGAGAGGCTGCACTTTGGGAAAAGAGGGAAGGGGAAGGCCTTGTAGGCGGAGATAGTGTTTCTTGAGTTCATCCACAGGATAACTCTAGTCCACAAGTGAAAGTCTGTCGGAGGTGAATGTGTCTTTGAGGAGGAATGTTTTCTTGGGATTGAAAGAGGGTGATATCTCAAAGGTCACTGAGGCTCCATTTCAGAATAATATATATGATATGTTTTATAATGATTGATCATTAAAGTGTTCTCAAAGCTGGTAAAGGTGCAGCTAGTTTGAATGACTTTGTATACTGCAGGGTAGCTTGTGAATTTACTCCAGGTGGAACTAAAGTCTGATTTAACACTTGATTATATTTCACATCATTCATCCACATCTGTAAAGTAGCTAAAGGGAAATACATGTAGTGGAGTCAAAGTACACCTTTACCTCTGAATTGTAGTGGAGTAGAAGTAGTACACAGTTGCATAAAAAGAAAACTAAGCTTCATCTCCAAGCCCAATGGCCTTGGAAGAGCTGCTAAGGAAAAGGAAAGACATCTGGAGACTTTGGAGAGACAGCTAACGGACAAACTCAAGGAACTGAAAGACACTCCCTAACAGGCCGTATGCTGTTTAGCCTTACCTTGAATGATTCAGTGCAGTGTTCTGTGCAGGTTTTCTGTTTGCTTTTTCAACTCAAGGAGCTCAAAGACTGATTGAAAGTTGATTTGATTTGCATAATTTCTGATTGCTGATTCAATGTGAAGGAAAATTCACATTTGAGTTTATACAGTATATGTGTGCATATAATGCCCCCTTTGGCCTAACCTGGGAGAGCCTTATGTTTACTGACAACCTAAGGACCTCCAACATGTTAATAAAGAATCTATTGAAAAGTTATATGGCTGATTGTTGTATATTGGTTGTATATTCTTTTTCTTTAATTTATCATCCTCATGTAGAATGCTATCACGAAACACACATTTGGTTGTTTATAGCATAAAGAACATCTGATTTAATGTGAGGTAGGGAAATAATCATTTGAAGATAAGTATGTGTATATAAATATGTAATTTACAACAGCTGTAAGATGCTTGATACGCTTGAAATACACCTTGAAAATGCTTGAAAAGTGCTTGAATTTGACTTTGTAAAAAGTGTAAGAACCCTGTATATAGTCAATGTGAGGTAAAGTGTGTCGCCAATGTAACCGGTTAAAACTCGAAGTGGCGATGAGGTCTTAAAATGTATGGAAAGGGTCTTAAAAAGTATTACATTTGACTTCAGGATTCCTGCATATACCCTGATATTATAAATTGCAATCTAAAATGGTTTTATTCTTTTAGTTTTCCACAAACACACACACACACAGAGAACTTCAGAAAATATTTTTATTTTAGAAATTGTCTCAAAAATGTTCAATGTTGTAGAAATGAAACTTTGGCATCCCAGCAGAGGAAAAGTGTCTCTCCTTATTTCCATTTAAACAAATGAAAGACATCAGAGACATTCCTACATGTACTTTTTTTACAAATGTGTACATCTTTTTAAAGTCTCGGGATTATTTGAACACGAAACCTGAGAGCGTTATAGTGGGTGAAGAGCTGAACACAACAATATGAATATTGTTTACAGGCAAGAATACAACAATGTGGAAAAAGCAAATAATAAATTGATATTTATTCGGCTTTAAATTCAGCAGTGTTTCCTATGATTGGTAACAAAAGCTATTTCTGCTTAACTGTAATATGAACTGAAGCTATAAGGAAAAATAAGCAAAGCACCTTTTCGGGGCCAGATAATACTCGTATATATAATCTCAATCACCTCCAGAGTCTTTTTCTGCAAATATAGCTTCTTAAAAAACCCTAAAAGCTAAATGCAATGGTGGATTATAACAACTTTGGTCAATTATCTTATCCATATATATGTTCCTTTTCACACTATGATCCAACATTATATCTGAGAGATGAAGTGGTGTTGGATAATTACAAAAATAAGGCTTTATGAATGAAAATGAACGCTTTTATTTCAGATATACTTCAAAATGTAAAGAGACATAACTTGTCTTTCCACCGAGTGTCCCTAAAAAACCCGAATCCTGCTGACGAATGGAATGAAATCTGCCGAGTGTGTATCTTTTTGGTTTATTCTTACACACGTGAACTATGACCTGGATTTCTGCAGATCGCCAACGTGGCAACTTTCTGTATTTGCTTTGTGTGTTTGAGATAACACACAGATCCCATTTCTCACACTTAGGAAGAGAAAGCGTTAAATGACTTGGTTTTTAAATGGAATTTGGCGTGATATTTTTTGCTCCACATACAGGAGATATAAGGCACATTACTGTTCTTCTCATGACACTGCTGAACAAATCTCCAAATTGACAGTTAATTGAGAAGCTAAAACAAAAATGTGGAGGATAAGAAGCATCCTGAATTGACACGAGAGAGCGCTTAAATTATAGAAAACATAAATAACATTTTATAGCATATGAACTCCCGCGGGTGAGAGTGTAAGCATCAAATTGCTGGATTTATGAATGGAGTTTGGAGGTGCATTGTTACCGAGATGATTCAGGTTTATTTGACACGCTTTAGGAGACTTCTTTGTTCCAAACAACAGGTGGAAACAAACCGGAATCACACTATGTTTTAGTTTGAGCACGCCACCTTTATAAGATGGCAGGAATTAAAGGAATGTGGATATACAAAAAAAACATCCAAACCCGAGTCACACTGCATGTTTATCAGCTGGTCTGGAATCAGTTTGCAGTAGTTCAAGCACACAGGAAGAGCGGAAAAAGACTCTTTGAAATAATAATAATAATAATAATAATAATAACAAAAAAGTGATTTTTCATAATCATCCACAGAAAGGTCTGCTTCTCCCACAAACTCATCTACTATCCAAACCACCGTTAAAAAAAATTATGATTATCCTGCTTGGGTTCATCGAGCAGCTTTGGCTTAAATCTTCTATAACAGTTTGGTCCTCTTCCTCGTCCTCGTCCTCCTCCAGCAGCAGTCTTTGGTCAATCCTCTCTCTCTCTCTCTTTGTGATTGATAATCAATAATCAGCTGACCGTAAACACTCCTCTGATCCTTCAGGGGACGACACTCATCTGAACAGACACAGATAACAGAAATCAGATCAGCAGCGACATGTCACAGCGTGTTAAAGTCCAGGAAACTGTGAAACGTTACCATATCCTGTGTTTGTTGCTGTGGTGAAAACATTTACTCGACATAACAATCGTACCTTTACTTCAAAATAAAGTATAGTTGTGTCAATCTTCTTTTTTTTCCTAAACTGATCTCACTGACGCATTTAAATATTTTTTGGAACATTTTATTTATTTACTTAAAGGTCCCCTATCATACTGTTTTTCATCAATATATTATAGGTCTCAGATATATCCAGAACCTGTCTCTGATTGGCTGAAACACCAAACAGATCATTGCAGCATTACCCATAATCCCCTCTGTTTCAGCCCTGTTTCAAAAGTGCTGATTCTCTGTCTGTTACTTTACATGAAAATAAGGAGCCCCTCCCCACGCCCCTCTGAGAGAGATTTGGTTACAAAGAACACAATGGTGCTCTAGGAGGAGATTCAGGTGATAAGGTGGAGGGGGGGGGGTTACCTTGGTTGCTGATTGGCTAATGGTTACACAAGCCAACACATCGTTATGACATCATCAAGTGGCCAAAATCTGATCAGCTCATTTTCAGACAGGTTTTTATAAAAATGGATCAGGACAAAAAGAGAGAGAATCTTTGTTCCTGAAACTTTCAGAGTCTCTTTACACAGAGGGGACACATGTTGATGTAGAAGAGACATGAAGAAGAGGGGACACATGTTGATGAAGAAGAGACATGAAGAAGAGGGGACACATGTTGATGTAGAAGAGACATGAAGAAGAGGGGACCACATGTTGATGTAGAAGAGACATGAAGAAGAGGGGACACATGTTGATGTAGAAGAGACATGAAGAAGAGGAGACACATGTTGATGAAGAAGAGACATGAAGAAGAGGGGACACATGTTGATGTAGAAGAGACATGAAGAAGAGGGGACACATGTTGATGTAGAAGAGACATGAAGAAGAGGGGACACATGTTGATGTAGAAGAGACATGAAGAAGAGGGGACACATGTTGATGTAGAAGAGACATGAAGAAGAGGAGACACATGTTGATGTAGAAGAGACATGAAGAAGAGGGGACACATGTTGATGTAGAAGAGACATGAAGAAGAGGGGACACATGTTGATGTAGAAGAGACATGAAGAAGAGGGGACACATGTTGATGTAGAAGAGACATGAAGAAGAGGGGACACATGTTGATGTAGAAGAGACATGAAGAAGAGGGGACACATGGTGATGTAGAAGAGACATGAAGAAGAGGGGACACATGTTGATGTAGAAGAGACATGAAGAAGAGGGGACACATGTTGATGTAGAAGAGACATGAAGAAGAGGGGACACATGTTGATGTAGAAGAGACATGAAGAAGAGGGGACACATGTTGATGTAGAAGAGACATGAAGAAGAGGGGACACATGCTGATGTAGAAGAGACATGAAGAAGAGGGGACACATGTTGATGTAGAAGAGACATGAAGAAGAGGGGACACATGTTGATGTAGAAGAGACATGAAGAAGAGGGGACACATGTTGATGTAGAAGAGACATGAAGAAGAGGGGACACATGCTGATGTAGAAGAGACATGAAGAAGAGGGGACACATGTTGATGTAGAAGAGACATGAAGAAGAGGGGACACATGTTGATGTAGAAGAGACATGAAGAAGAGGGGACACATGTTGACGTAGAAGAGACAGGAAGAAGAGGGGACACATGTTGATGTAGAAGAGACAGGAAGAAGAGGGGACACATGTTGATGTAGAAGAGACATGAAGAAGAGGGGACACATGGTGATGTAGAAGAGACATGAAGAAGAGGGGACACATGTTGATGTAGAAGAGACATGAAGAAGAGGGGACACATGTTGATGTAGAAGAGACATAAAGAAGAGGGGACACATGTTGATGTAGAAGAGACATGAAGAAGAGGGGACACATGTTGATGTAGAAGAGACATGAAGAAGAGGGGACACATGCTGATGTAGAAGAGACATGAAGAAGAGGGGACACGTGTTGATGTAGAAGAGACATGAAGAAGAGAGGACACGTGTTGATGTAGAAGAGACATGAAGAAGAGGGGACACATGTTGATGTAGAAGAGACATGAAGAAGAGGGGACACATGTTGATGTAGAAGAGACATGAAGAAGAGGGGACACATGTTGATGTAGAAGAGACATGGAGAAGAGGGGACACATGTTGATGTAGAAGAGACATGAAGAAGAGGGGACACATGCTGATGTAGAAGAGACATGAAGAAGAGGGGACACATGTTGATGTAGAGAGACATGGAGAAGAGGGGGCACATGTTGATGTAGAAGAGACATGAAGAAGAGGGGACACATGTTGATGTAGAAGAGACATGAAGAAGAGGGGACACATGTTGATGTAGAAGAGACATGAAGAAGAGGGGACACATGTTGATGTAGAAGAGACATGAAGAAGAGGGGACACATGTTGATGTAGAAGAGACATGAAGAAGAGGGGACACATGTTGATGTAGAAGAGACATGTAGAAGAGACATGAGAAGAGGGGACACATGTTGATGTAGAAGAGACATGAAGAAGAGGGGACACATGTTGATGTAGAAGAGACATGAAGAAGAGGGGACACATGTTGATGTAGAAGAGACATGAAGAAGAGGGGGCACATGTTGATGTAGAAGAGACATGAAGAAGAGGGGACACGTGTTGATGTAGAGGAGACATGAAGAAGAGGGGACACATGTTGATGTAGAAGAGACATGAAGAAGAGGGGACACATGTTGATGTAGAAGAGACATGAAGAAGTGGATTTTGCATAATAGGTGACCTTTAAACAAATGCTATCTCTTTTATTTCACGTTAAATGTCATGTTTTGATATCTTTATTTATTTTACTCTAATTTGTATTTTCCTATTTTTATTTTATTATTGCTACAGTATGTGTTTTTCTATTTTTTTATTTATAAATTCTTCTTGTTATTTGACTTTTTAAATTGTATTTATTCAATTATTATTATTATTATTGGAGATTTGAATCGATATATAGATTATTTCTTATATATGCCCTGAGAGTTTAATTCAAACTCTGAAAATACAAATGTGAAACCTCCCATACCTGCTGATCGTTGGTTATTGTACAAATATTTTTGAAGTAACTATTAATGAATTTTGCCGCTCCCCCTAATAAACTTTGTCTTACCATTATTTGAGGGAATAACCCGTTTTGAACCAACAGTTCCCCCCATGTGTACAGGAAGTATGAACTCTATTAGTGGGTATAGAGTGCCACAGTGACGCGTCCTAAAACCCGGAAGTAAACTCCTTCCGGTTCCTTCGACAAAAACGCAATGCAATTTCTCCATAGGATTTTGGAAAATAGCTGGAAATCAGGTCTGTGGTCGAGACACATTTAAGAGACGGATCACGGTTTGTTCAGCTGGATAATCTCCACATGTCTACCCTACTTTTATAATTTTATAATCATAAATCTATCGATTAGATGCATTGCTTTTTTGTCGAAGGAACCCATGCGCAGCTTACTTCCGGGTTTTAGGACGCGTCACTCTGGCACTCTATTGTCCACAGTAATAAACTCTTACATGTCTAATATGTGTAATTATTATTATTATTATTATTATTATTAAAAGTATGCTAAATGTTCTATTAGCACATCCTGTTCGTAGTGTACCTATGGATATACAGAAAACTATCACTGTATTACTTAAAAACTGAATAAAAGATTTGTGGACGATTATTCTGGATTTACAGTCCCACTGAATGATATTAAAATGTCTGTGTTCACATATCACTGCTATGATTCAAGGCGAGCCGGTTGTACAGCATCACCGTAAAGAGCAGTATTCTGTGTTGTTGTTGTTGTTGTTGTTGTTCTCTGACCTGCGGAGGCTGCGTGCTTCATACAGCGTGTCGTCCTCGTCGCTCTCCACCGCCTCCATCTCCACGGAGTCGTCGTAGTTCGACAGCAGGCCGTACTTCTTCTTGTGGGCGGGCCTCTTCAGCCTGTCGATGTAGAAGAAGTGTCATTATTTACCAACACTGATTGTTTTAAAATAATACAATAACAACACACGTCTGTTTGTGGGATCAGATTAACGCTGAACTCATGACTGGCTGTAACTCCCTAATTAAACCACACAAATCACAGTTTACAGAGTGTGTACAGCTGCTGGGAAAACACACAGTATGACAGGAAGTCCGGCTGTTATGACTGTATTGTTAATACAAAATTAAAAAGTGAACTCCCTCCAACCGCACATACGAACTCTTGACTCTCTCCATTGTTAAATCACGTCTCAAAACATATCTCGTCAAACTGGCAGATCCACCCTGATCACATGACACATCCTCTGTTGTTATTGATTATATTGTCTTGTTGTTCTGCTGGTGTTTTGTTTTTGTTTTGTGTATCTTGTACGGCGACCTTTAGAGTGTTGAAAGGAGCCTATATGAATAAAAATGTTCCATTAAAAACAAGATCTGAGTACTTCTACTTTTACTACAAGATCTGAGTACTTCTACTTTTACTACAAGATCCGAGTACTTCTACTTTTACTACAAGATCTGAGTACTTCTACTACAAGATCAGAGTACTTCTACTTTTACTACAAGATCTGAGTACTTCTACTTTTACTACAAGATCGGAGTACTTCTACTTTTACTACAAGATCTGTGTACTTCTACTTTTACTACAAGATCTGAGTACTTCTACTTTTACTACAAGATCTGAGTACTTCTACTTTTACTACAAGATCTGAGTACTTCTACTTTTACTACAAGATCTGAGTACTTCTACTTTTACTACACGATCTGAGTACTTCTACCACCTCTGGCTAGCTATTGTAGTAGAAGAAAAAAAAACAACACGTTGTTTTTTATTAATCTGTCACAATTTTTTACTAAATCACTGCTTTTATGAATGGAGTTTGGTGTTGCATTAATCAATATAAAGGGTTGTAAAGGGCTCCACATTCAGGTAAAAGCCACAATGTAGATTTGTATTATGATATATAACATGTACGTATACTTTTTAAGCTTGTGCCAATTACTATAGTAGAAGAAAAAAAGTTGTACATTGTACTTTGGTTAATCTGTCCCCAGTGTTTACTAAATCACTGTTTTTATGAATGGGGTTTGGTGTTGCATCTATCCATATAAAGGGCTCCACATAAAGGTCAAATGCACAATGTAGATTTGTGATAAGATATATAACGTGTACGTATAATTTGTAAACTTGTGCCAATTACTATAGTAGAAGAAAACAAGTTTCACATTGTAGCCTACTTTGGTTAATCTGTCCCCAGTGTTTGTCTAAATTGCTGTTTTTATGAATGGGGTTTGGTGTGTGGACCTAATCACGGTTGTCCTCACCTCACAGCCCGGATGACGAAGTAAATAACCCCGATGATGGTGATCCCGATCAGCACGTACAGGGCCCTCTGAATCATGGAGCTGTCCAGCCCGTTAAACAGCCCTCCTCCGCGGTGCTTTTTCCCGCCGCTGTGTGTGGAGTTCCCCCCGGTGCTGGAGTTCGTCACTGCGGGGATCTGAGCCTCTGTGACCGGGTTTACAGCCTCCCCCACCACGGCGACAAACACCCAACATATCGGTAAAAGAACCGCGGAGAGAAGTCTGTAAAAAGTCATTTTGACAAAAAACACTCCGCTTGTATCAAAGAGAGGAAAGTAGAGCCGTGGAGTTTCACTTTTTTAACCGGAATCGAGTTTATATTTGGGTTTTTTAGAAGATATACACGTCGCGTTAGCTGTTATTAAAGTAATATCCAGAGAACTAGGAAGTTAACATCATCCACCTACTGCCTACGTCACACACGCAGTGGGGGAAATTCTCCCTCAGTTTGACTTTCAGGTAGTGCCTGTCAACCAATCAGAACAGTGCATTCAGATGCCTGCAAGTCTGAGGAAAGGGGTTGAATAAATATTTTAATATAATAATAATAATAATAATAATAATAATAATAATAATAATAATAATACAGTGGATTTTTATAGCGCTTTTCCTAATGCTCAAAGACGCTTAACATAATATTAGTTATAGTAATAATAGTAATTTAATAAAACCCACTTTTACCAAGTGCAACATTGAAGTGATGCGGAGATTATTGTATCAATAATTGTAATACGTTTAAAAATATATATTGTGCTTAAATGTGCCATTCTGCGTGACTTTTCATTTCTGTACTTTAAGTATATGTTGATGCTTATACTTGTTTACTTCTACTTGAGTACAATTTTGAATACAGTAGCCTGCTTTTACTTAAAACAGAGTATTTTAATCTAATAATTGTACAGGTGAATAATCTGAGTGCTTCGTCCACCTCTGAAAATACAATATAAAAGTAACTGCCTATTTGTTTCTCTCTGCAATATTGAATACTAACCCAAATTAGACAAGTTTTACATACAACTGGGATATTCTTTGAGATTAAAGTTATAATTAGAACACATTTGAAACGTTGTTTGTGCCTTTATGATCCAAGGAAACTTTCTTTTAGATTTACTGTTATAGTCTCAGAAAATATCCCAACTGTATGACTTTTATCTTGGATATTCTGAGTTAGTCTTGTGACTTTTTGTTTCTCCCCTCTGTGTCAGATCACAGCTGGATGCAGGCTGAAACATCTGGAGAGATTCAGATCTTGGTTGATCTTTGAGCTGGTTGCGTTTCCTCAGGTTCCTCAGATCTAACTCAGAGCTGTAGTCCTGCTTGTGTTCAGCAGCAGCAGATGTCTACCTGCCTCACAGCCTGAACCATTCACACTAACGAGCAGCTCACATCTGGAAACATCAATCAGAGGTTAGAAACCCTCTCACCTGTCCGCCCTCATGGCACAGGGAACGACTCACGGCTGAACTCAGATACTTCATCAAATATTTTAGAGGCTTTTGGTCCGATCTGAGAGCAGGTTTTATAATTGTTTTAGGAATCTGTGCTGTCCTGTTTTTCATTCTCACTCTGTTGCTGTTTAAACTACTGAATCCACTGGTCCATCTTATCTTATCTTATCTTAGGTTTACAGGTTTTTTTTAAAAGTTATATTTTGTTTTCTTCCTCCATTTATGACTGTTTTGTAAATACTGCTGAGCAAAATATTTGGCTTTGATTAAAGAGAGATACTGTAAATGTACATTTTGTCCAATCTTTTAGAATATTATTTGGATATTTAACAGAAGTTTTGTGCATATTTTAAACATTTTGGTCTAGTTTAGTTACAAACCCTAAGTATTACTGTAATAAGGGCTTTTGACCTCAGGGGAGCGCTGTTGGTTTTCTTCTGCAGTCAGCTGCATGTCTGTGTTTACGAATATTTTTTTGATATTTTATGTATTTTTGGCCAATATTTTACTAATATATTTTGGAAAATCCTACCTTGATTTTATTAACGATATTTTATACTATTTACTTTCTCTCGTAGATTGTAAAAACACATTTTGGATGATTTACTAAGAGGTTTTTAGAACATTTTATCAACTTTTGTCCAATATTCTTTGGTTTATGATTTAAATGTGTTAAATTGTTCTGGTATGTTCTCGGACATTTACATTTTGATTTTCAATGGACATGACACTGATACTTTTGCGATATTTGATTAAAAATATATATTTTCCGGATATTTTTTAATTCTTTTTTTTAGAATAAAAAAAAAGTTGTGTCCAAAATTTGACCAATTTGTATTTGACATGTTACTTATAATTTGTAAGACATTTTACTGATTTTTTGGGATATTTTGTTCACCTTTTGATTGCAGCCTTTACGAATAAACCCAGTAACAAAACTATAAAAAAACATCCTCTGTCAGAAGGATTAAAAGATGGGTAAATAAAAGGCAGACATATTAAAGTATGATTCTCCTTAGCAAGGCACATGTATCTGTATCAGAGGTGCTGGTTTGATTCCCGCAGGATCAAAGCCTCCAGATGTCACGCTAATGTACATTTATGTATTTAGGTTATTTCTGTATTTAGGTTGCTGACAGAGGCTCCAGTGATTGACAGACCGGCCGTCCAATAGCAGCGCGACTCTGCTGCCCTGCTGCTCTGTGATTGGTCCTTAGCTTGACAGAGTGGGCGGGACTATGAGATTACAGCATCTCTGTCTCTGCAGATCCCTCGGACATCTGGAGCTGCCCTGCCCGGGAATCAAACATCCTCCCCGAGCACCGAGCACCGAGCACCGACATCCCTCATTGACCGAGCCCGGTGTGTCACTGTCTGTTTCCCCCGTGAAAACACCCCCTTGGACCCGGTGTTGTTGTGGCTGCTGTCCGGGCTGGATCTCCCGCAGGCTGCAGGGCTCCGGAGGGACCCCACCGGTAAAAACACGGAAACACGAAGGAAACCCGGGACTAAGAGGTGATGCACTGAAGTGATCCGACATCTGAGAGCGTTTTTCAGGCCCTATGTGAGCTGCGACACACCCGGACCTGGTGCGTCTCGAACCCGGATCCTCCTGCAATCTGGACCCTGGAGTCGTGTGTTTCCCTGCAGGATAAAAAAAACAACATTTATTAGTTTTGCAGATCTTGTGTCTGATAAACGGTCCTGATTGAGACTTCCTCCTCCTCTTCCTCTGGTCTGGATTAAAGCCCATCAGGATCATGAATCATCCCCCCTCTGCTCCTCTAATCCGGGTTTTACCGAGCTGGATTTAAATCTGAGATCTGATCTGGATTACTCTGCTGCTCCTGGATCTGATCGGGTCACGTGCTGGTCCCGGTCCCGGTGTGATCTTGGACTCGGTGCTCCTGGTTGTTTGTGTTTCTGAAGGGGGAGATCTGCTGTCAGCCATGCCGACGTCCCGGCCCGGTTCTGCGCCGGTGGAGTTCTGGGTGGACGGGTCGAGGCGGGACGGGGCGGTGGAGGAGTTCTACACCCTGAGCTCCGAGCTGGGCAGGTCTGCATCATGTTACCTGGGGGGGTTTAAGGAAGCATGGGACCCCATTGGACCCTGCACCATGTTACCTTAGTTTCCACTAAATTACATTACTCAAAAAAACACAGTAATTTAGTATATAAAAGGAATTGCATTATCATAGAGTTATCTTTTGGAGGGGCCCACAGGGGGGTCCAAGCTCTGTGTTATAGGGGCACTGGCCCCTGTTGGCCCCCCCTTAGAACCTCCCATGCCTGGGGGGGTTTGAGGTTGCATGGGCCCCCCATTGGACCAGAGTTTCCAACATAAGTGATCCTGGTTTATACCATATTGGGTCCATTGTAGACAGGTTTGTCATTTACACACTGGGGGGCCCAACACTTTTTGAATTGGCAAATTTTGTCCCAATTACTTTTTTGAAAAAGCTTTCAGAAAGATGTATTTGCACAATAGGAAAACATGACATATAAATATAGAATAAATGAATGTGCAATGTCCAGAGCAAAACAAAAAACCCTATAAAATGACCAAAAGGCATTGATAACTACCTCTAAAAATGTCTGTATAAATATACCTTGAAGACCATTTAAAAACATTCTCATCCCCTATTGATTGATTGTATATGTAAAAGATAAATATTAGAAATTCTCTAAAACTATAATGTTACCAAATTACTTCAAAAACGTGCAGATTGATCTAATCTTGAAAAGTGAAGTGATATTGTTTTTCTTTATAAATGTATCACTTTCACGATCCAGGTGTTTCTTTCGTAAATGTAAGACTTTAAATGTAGTTATCAAAGTGTATTTTCTTCGTAAATGTGTGAGTTTTAGTGGAAATGTAGGCCGACTTGAATCTCAGAATAAATGCAAATGTTATTCTCTTAAATTTAGACTTTAATCCCAGCAACTATGTATGTTTCAACTTTCAATCAAAATGGAGGTCAAATTTATGACTTAATATAAACTCTGTGGCCACCATGGATGTTTAAAGAGAACTGTATACAGCGTGGGAGGCGGGGCTTTGTTCACTTTTAGTTCAGGTGCATAAAGCCAAAATAACTTTTTTTTTACGACTTTAGGGCCTAAGGATACATTTAAAAAGGTTTCACTGTTTAACAGATGTCTCTTCCCAATGTACAGTATATCAATGGGAAAAAGTATTTTCGGCCCAGTGATGTCACAAGTTGATGTGGAAGTTAAAGTACCACTGTTTGCCCGCCAACATAAATTCAAAACCTTCACAACAAGAAGCAAAAAGTATTTTGTACAACCCAGAATTTTGCATCGCCACTTGTTCCAACAACCAATACGATTTTTCCATTGGGTTTTAGGTTTTTGCAGAACATAATTTCTATGGCAAACTAACAATTCCAATACTTATATGTTTTGATCAGCAGCATAATCTTCACATATTAACACCAATTTATGATTTTTGAAGTAAAAAGCTAACTATAATAATAAAAGAACTACAGCACGGTCACATGACTTCACGTCACCACCGCTAAGCTAAAGGCGGCTAATGTTGGGCTATAAAGAAACTACAGCACGGTCACATGACTTCACTTTACCACCGCTAAGCTAAAGGTGGCTAATGTTGGGCTATAAAGGAACTACAGCACGGTCACATGACTTCACTTCACCACCGCTAAGCTAAAGGCTGCTAATGTTGGGCTATAAAGGAACTACAGCACGGTCACATGACTTCACGTCACCACCGCTCAGCTAAAGGCGGCTAATGTTGAGCGTGATGATGTTTAGTCGTCTCATTTAGACACTTGTTAGCAACCGCCGTTTTCCCCAGTGGGGTATTTACTGACAGATTTTATGACAAAACTTTCTATAAATAAAAAAAAGTCTTCAGCTTGTGTCAGCCACACACGTTATTTCAGACAAATAACCCAAAAACTATTCATAAAACCAAACCATTCACTTTGAGATGACCAAACAGAAAGTGCTAACATGCTGACTAATTTCTGGCGTTGCACAGCTAACAATAACGTTAGCATTCCAAAATAAGTTAGCTATGGCATTCATTTTAGCAGCTAACACGCTAACAGGCGTCTTTTGCTAGTTCACTAGTCCCTAAAACAGGAAAAGCGCCCAGATGTGGTTCTTCCAGGTAAAAGTGACCAAACCGCTGGCTGTTTGTTTATTGTTCCTGTGAGTGTTCACACGTCATGTTGTTTGTTGTTATTCCTGTAAACAACAACAACATTAACAGCTCCATGAAAGAAAACAGCAAAATTATATCAGCAGTGAATTCACAAACGTGTGAGCTCTGTTACCAGGTGCCCTGTTGCCATGGAGACCGACCAGCACTGTGTGTGAGTGTGTGTGTGGGTGTGGGTGTGTGTAGGCATGAGTGTGTGTGTAGGCGTGAGTGTGTTTGTGTGTAGGTGCGAGTGTGTGTTCTTGGTTGCTTTACAGACAGATCTGTTTCCTCCATCTGTCCTAGCAGAATGACACACACACACACACACACACACACACACACACACACACACACACACACACTTCACACACACACACACACACTTCGGAGCACTTTCACAATCAGGATGAATTTGTGTGAACACGACTTTTCTCAGAGAAAGACGAGGAGACCGTCTCTTCTCTCTTTCTAAAAATCGGACTTACTTACCTTCATAACCCCCAATCTGTCTCGCATAAATATAACTTTATTTTGCGATCAATATGTTAATTATTTGTTGCAAACAGAGAGCAGAATTAAAACAACTAGAATATGAATAATAAAGAAAGCCTGTTATCCGTTGTGATTGTGAGGTATAGGTGGAGAGGAAGCTCTTAATTTAAGATAATAAATACCTCAAACCTTTATCTCGAATCATCATTAAAACCTCAAATTGAAGCAAATTACACGGTGCATTTAAATGAGCGTGTAATTACAGCTACATGTCGCCACTGCTAAGGAAGCTACTAATTACTTCACACTGGGGAAAAAACACTCTAGGTAAAAATACCCGAGAGAAACATCTAGTGTGAAAGCTACTCGTAAAAATGTGTTAGAAAGACATCAGAAATTTACATGAAATTACAACAAAATATATTACATTTCTTTGAGCAAATTCAAAGAGTTTCATTGCCGTTTGAGCAAATCAAGATAGAAATGACAGAAGAGCATAAGATAAACTTATTTCCACCACTCACATATTCAAATATTCTCTTATCTTTATCCAGTTTTTTCCTACTACTAGTATTTCTTCTCAGTTACTTCCTGTTTACCTCCAGTGGAAGACTCTCAATAAAATACTTTACTTACAACCATGTTACTTTTTCACTTCTATCTATCTATCTATCTATCTATCTATCTATCTATCTATCTATCTATCTATCTATCTATCTATCTATCTATCTATCTATCTATCTATCTATCTATCTATCTATCTATCTATCTATCTATCTATCTATCTATCTACAGTATATCTACTGTCTAGTTCATCCAAACTAAAATCCACGATAAAAAATTAATTGAAAACAATTAAAGAGCATTCAAAATGTAAATACAAAAGCCATACTTCTTCATTTTAAACATGTGTTATTGATAACCCTTTCTCAAACATCTTTCTTTCTCGTAGTAAATATATAAATTGTTGTGATCTATGCTCTCTTTAAAGTCACAAAGACTCCATTGAAAAAGAAGTAAAGAAGTAGAAATAAATATATCAATATGTAATTTCCATCCAGCAGTTTCGTGACCTTCCCATTTTCTGAGGACATCAGACCGACCTTTTTAAAAGTGTTTGACAGTTCTATATTCTTGCTTTCTTGTCTGAAAGTAGGACATATAAACGCAGGTCAGATTTAACACTGGTGTTTTGTTGCTTTGTGTTTTCTTCCAGAGGAGCGACGTCCATCGTGTATCGCTGTGAGGAGAAACAGACGCAGAAACCCTACGCCCTAAAAGTCCTCAAGAAAACGGTCAGTGAACGCCACGATGCAAAAACCTGGTCGAAAATCTTTGTCCTATTGGTTCTCAATCTGCTAAATGTGTGTTCAATCTTTCAGAAAGGGATGGCTTTGATGTTTTAAAGTGGGTACCTCTCCATATTCAGTGTATTACACCTAAAAAAAATGCAATATCAGCTTAAAGGGCCCATGTCATGCTTTTCTGGTTATTACCCGTCCAAACGGTCTGCAGAGTCACAAACCCTCAAAGTACACCCTGTAGCGAGTAAAACTCTAACACAGAAAAGACCTGTCTATGCTGCCCCAGAACGCCTCGTTAGAGATTTCTCTTTTTCCATTGTTTACTTCTTGGGTATAGTGACGTATTTCGGGTATAGTGACGTAACGACGTAATCTGCGGAGCCGTTACGTTTGGACCAATCCGCGGACTTCCTCACACACACACACTCGGCGGGACGTTGCGAGGCTCGCTGCTGCGAGGAGCGGGACACTGTGAGCTGGCTCACTGGTGTGGGGTCGGCGAGACAGCGAGACACCGCGGAACTCTGCCTGGGCACACACACAAACTCCCAGCCAGGCTGCGGGTGTGTGTGTGTGCCCAGTCTCGCTGTCTCGCAGACGGCCACTGGGCTCACAGGGAGGGGGGGGGGGGCAGGAGCTCCAACAAGCCGTTTAGGACAGAGAGGGGGTGTTTCTCAATCTCGAGTAAAGCTGCTTCAGAGCCACTATTTCAAGCATACTACGTCATCGAGTCCCGCCGAAGTACTGTTCCAATCTCCAGTATACTTGGAAATCTACCGAGCCCGGCGTACTCCGTTTGGAGAAATATCGAGTCTGCACATGAGTAGACTTCGCGGTCTTAAAATCCCCACAATGCTTTGCGCACGGACCAATTTCCCCAAATCTGTGGCGGAAGATGTAAGGCGGGGCCTCTCATATGACGCACACCTGCACACTTGCTAGCCTGTTCCACACTTCGTTTTCCGAATGCCAGGAAGTATTCTTGACTCGCTTCTGAAGCAAGATGCTCGGCAGACATGTGCTACCAAGCAAGCGTACTCGCGATTGAGAAACACCCAGTGAATACACATACTATACAGAGATGCTGTATGAGAAACCAATGTGAGTTTGGAACATTGCACAATATACATTTATTTTAGTAGACCTCAACAATGGAATTATGATCAGTAGAAATGGCCGTGACATGGGACCTTTAAGTGTACGCTATATTTAGAATAATTTGAACAGCTTTACCTTGCTGTCAGGCAGCTCTTTGGACGAGGAACTGAATCCATTTCCCCAAGAGCCATCATTGCACTAAACTCCTGAACTCATACCCCTTAATCATCCTCCATGTGCAATAAACGTATATCATTATTATAAATACATACATATTATTTATTACATTTTTTTAAATACCCCTTGAAATAATTACTGCACTTTATTCCTTATTCCTAAGTATGTATGCTGCGTGTATTTATTGTCGTATGTTGTGATGTTTTTGTTTTGATGGCACCTTTTTAAAAGGGAGAAGCTTTTCTTTCTTTCATTGTACATGTATAATGACATTAGATTATTCTATTCTATACAGTATGCTCTCTAAAGCAAGGCAAATATATATTTAGAGCACATTTCTTACAAAAAACCCACATTCAAAGTGCCATATATAAAACATCAAAGGCATTTAGACACATTTTAAAATTAACACATCATAAAAGGACAATTATATAAGTACAAGAGCCAAGAGAAAAGGACATTAAATACAAGCTCAAATAGAAAATGCCTGGTGTGGAATAAAGAATGAAATATGACAGAAACATACCCCACAAAACACTGGACTTTCTGGTCTTCTGCTGCCTCGATCACATATTTAGTTTGTGTTATTTTGGTGTTTAAACGTTTATTTCAGATTCTCAAAAGTCACACAATTATGCTCTGCTGCCAATTTTGTGTTCACCTCCTGTCTGAGTTGGAACAAATGTTTTTGAGTCTCATGTTGTTTCTTTTTGTCGCAGATCGACAAGAAAATAGTCCGTACGGAAATCGGAGTCTTGCTGCGTCTCCACCATCCAAACATTGTAAGTATATTCCTCACCACACTGTAATAAATCACTTAATCATAATGTATGAATCAATGTTTGTATATGATATATATATATCGAAAAATAAATATAATGTAGAATTATATCAGTTGGAGGAACAGGGAACACAAAGTCACATTTTTACAGAATTTCTTGTGTCCATTGGATGGTTTAGATTAGCTAAATTCAAAACATGTTTTTAGTCGTGTTACATGTTCAAACTATATACTATATGTGGGGGAAACTTCTGTGTAGCAATGCAGGAGGAGACACCGACTCAAAGGAGACACGGGGAGAGCTGGAGCTTTGATGGCAAACACTGTTGGGTTTATTTAGGAGCTTCGGCCGGAGAATTCACAAAACAAGTCAAAGAGTCAGAGGTTCTGACTTCACGGTAGAGTTGCCACGTCAATTCTGAAGAACTCTACCCCAGACCCGTGTATTTAGCTAGTTCAGAGAGAATAATCAACATTGTGCATAACAAGATAGAATCATAACACCTCTATCAGCTGACGCCAACAGGCAGGAACAGGGAGACAAAACACTGACAGCACAGCAGCCAAGGTCACAGGTGCGTGTGCTCAGTCAGGACAGTATGAACTGATAAACTGGGTCAAAGTTATGGGCCTTGGAAAATATTTCCCCAACACATATATGTATCTCCTAATATATAATTAATGATTATCATTGAGTGTTTTCATTTCATTCATCCTTTTTTCTCTTGTTTCGTCTCAGATCCAGCTGAAGGACATTTTTGAGACGGACACCGACATCGCTCTGGTTCTGGAGCTGGTGACGGGAGGAGAGCTGTTTGACAGGTAAACACTGTAATTAAACATATTTATAAACCTTATGGAAGCCATAGCATTATAATCAATGCATTTAGCCCAGGGGTGTCAAACTCAAGGCCCGGGGGCCAAATCCAGCCCGTGACTTCAAGAGCTTGCAAAGAATATAATATGTTTATTTGAATTTGACTTATTTTCTTCAAAATATGCTTTTTTTTCTTAGAATTTGACTTTTTTTCTTCAAAATATGTCTTTTTTCTCAGAATTCGATTTTTTTTTCTCAAAACGTTGCTTTTTTTCCAAAATGTAGCTTTTTTTTCAAAACGTTACTTTTTCCCCCAAATGTCACTTTTTTTCTCCAGAATTTGGCTTTTCTTTTAAAATAATGTTGTGACATTTTCACCGAAGAGACTTGCAATTATTTGCCGTAGACTTCTGCTTTCAGACGTAGTTAATTATGAAGTTATTACCCTATCCGATAATAATCCAATGCAGAGGCAATAATGTAATATAATACATCATTTTATATATATTAAATATTTATATAGTCTTAAAGTTACACTTTTTTGGCCCGCGATGAAATTGAGTTTGACACCCCTGATTTAGCCCTTTAGACATTTAGCCCTTCTGCCTTACCATGGACACTGTTGTCTTATTCATCTTTTGATAATTGTGTCTTTTTAAAAGCATAGTATTATGGCAACGATGTAAGTGACTTTGTCAAATTATGTAATGAATCTCAATCACAGATTTTCTGAGCGTTAAGTACAGAAATACCCCCATTGAAAACCAATGGCTATCACAGCTTAAAATCATGCCTTCGTTTTTTTTTAGGCTTTACATAAAAAAAAGCTTTTTACAATTTTCCATCAGATTGAGTCACTTTCTCATAATTGCTATTATCCAGGATTCCTGCAGTGCACACACAAGAAGAACATGTTTAAAATCACTGCTCATAATTGGCATATCCCACAATGTGAAAAAAAACCCGAGCATATAGAAAATAATGAAATGTTTGTGTGTTTCATTTAATTAATGTTCTATTATCAACTAAATCTTTGAGCTGTACTAGTTTGTTTATTGTCATATGTTTGACCTGGAAACATCTTAAAGTGTATTCTGTAAAGTAACTAGTAACTGCAGCTTTGAGTAAAGTAGTAAAGTAAGTGGAATATATAAGGAAGCAGACAATGGAGGTAAAAGGTACCACTTTACAGTAGGCGCTTTCACACCGGAGTACTTTTCCCAGTATAGTTCCGATATAGTTCCGAAAATGTGCGTTCACACCAAAACAATCCGGAACTAAAATGAGTTCATGAGAACCTTTTCACCCCCTTTTCAGTCCCTGCTAGAGAGCAGGTACTTTCGTGGGAGAAAAAGGTTCCTATGTCTGATTGGCTGGGCGGATTGCAAACCACGCCCCGTAAAACTCTGAAAAGGTTTTGTGAAGCCGCCATTTTATTTTCCTCGCATTAGCATTATTAGCATTAGCATTAGCCCAACGGAGAGAGACTAACTTATGGCAACACAAAAGAAAACATGGGAGCGGTGGAGTGATGAGGAGATGTCGGCGTTCTGGCGATTTACTCGGAAGGCTTCAGTAGAAGAGATAGATAGATAGATAGATAGATAGATAGATAGATAGATAGATAGATAGATAGATAGATAGATAGATAGATAGATAGATAGATGTTGAAAATGTAATAATTAGGCTTGATGTGATATTTTTTGCTGATGTTTTTCTGCAGGATCGTGGAGCGAGGGTATTACAGTGAGAGAGACGCCGCTCACGTCATCAAACAGATCCTGGAGGCTGTGGCGGTAAGAGCTGCGTTCAGTGTCTGTTCTCACTGTCAGGAAAACCCAGCGCTGTCTGTGTGTCTGTTCTTCATCACAGTCACAGTGGATGATCCAGCTCCATCCATCTCTCAGTTTATTAGATTACTGTTCGCTTCCTCCATCTCTGTTCAGTCTCTGCTGCTTCGCACACCGATCATAAACCAGCTTCTCTCAAACTGATGTTTTTAGGTCGGAAACCTTTCACGAAACCAGCACAGAGGCTGTCAGATCTGAGGACTTTTTAGCTTCTAGTTCTTGTTAGTTTCAAGATTCAAGATTCAAGACTTTTATTGTCATTTGTACATTGTAGTTCTTAGACAGATAAAACAGTGCAAGTAAATACAATAAAATAGAATAGAAATAGTGCAATTATTTTAAGCTTTGGGTTAGCTTGTAGTTCCTGTTGGCTTCTAGGTCCATGCAGGTAACTAAGACTTAGCTTCTAGTTTCTGTTAGCTTGTAGTTCTTTCAGTTCATTTCTAGTCTTTAATAAAGTATGTCTTCTTCTTCTTCTTCTTCTTCTTCTTCTTCTTCTTCTTCTTCTTCTAGCTGTGGGGGTTAGCTTCCAGTTCTCGTTAACTTAGAGTTAGCTTCTAAGTCTTACTAGCTAATAGTTCTTGTCAGAATCGATGTCTGGACTGTTAACTTAGACTTGGCTTGTTGTTCTTGTTGGCAGACGGTTATTTTAGGGTGACCTTGTAGTTCTTTTTTTCGTGTTAGGGTTAGCTTCTAGGTTCAGAGAGTAAACTTAGATTTAGCTTCTAGTGCTTCTAGGTCAAGACTGTTGACCTAGAGTTAGCTTCTAGGTCTTGTTAGCTTCTGGTCCTTCTCAGCTTCTAGGTTGGGACAGTTAACTTAGGGTTACCTTGTAGTTCTTTTTTAGTGTTGGGGTTAGCCTAGGTCTATGTTAGCTTCTCTCTCTAGACAGTAAACTTAGAATTAGCTTATGTTCTCGTTAGCGTTTAGGTCCAGACTGCTGACTTAAAGTTAGCTTCGAGTTCTCTTTAGCATCTAGGTTCAGACAGTCAGTTCAGAATTTGCATCCAGTCCTTGTTAGCTTTGGGTTAGCTTCTAGTTCTTCTTAGTTAAATGTTGTACTGTTCCTTTAAGGTTCACTTAATGTTGTACTGTTTCTTTAAGGTTCACTTAATGTTGTACTGTTTCTTTAAGGTTCACTTAATGCTGTACTGTTCCTTTAAGGTTCATTATGAACATGTATGGGCTCTATCGGCAGTCTGTTCAGAAGCAGATTTGTTTTGTGGTGTAGGAGTTCTTCCTCCTCCAGAGAATGATTCACAGTCGTTCTGTTTCTCGGCCGAGTTAATCAAACCTGAAAGTTTAAATGTCAGCATGTAACGAGGCGTTCACTGACATGCTTACACAACACTGCACTGTTTATCTGGGCCCAAAATGGTTGAATGTACTGTACAGTTACAGAAAAAGAAAACTGTATTTGATTCAAGAAGTGGTGATCATTTCAGTTGATGATGTGTTTATAAAACCAAAATGAGATTTAACGTATCTTGACAAACCTTCTATACTGGATTATTATGTTTTTCAATTCAGTGTATATTGATTTATGTATATATTTTATTTATTTTTTAATTAATTTATGTGTTTCCCTGCCAGGTGTTGCCTTAGTTTCTGTTGTTAGTTGCTTGAGCTGCAATAGTTTGTTGCAGTGATGAGGTGCTGTAGTTTCAGTAGTAAGTTGTTGCTGTAGTTGCAGTTGTTAGTTGCCTGTGTACTGTAGCTTTGGTCGTGGTAAATTCATTAGTTAGTTGCAGATGTTGCTGTAGTTGGTTGCTGTAGTTGTTGTAGTTTCATTAATAAGTAGCAGTTGTTGCTGTAGTTGTGATAGTTAGTTGCCTGTGTTGCGGTGTTTGCGGAAAATTCATTAGTTAGTTGCAGGTATTGCTGTTGTTGTAGAAGTTGCAGAAGTGAGTGGCAGGTGTTCTTTAACCTGCATTCGTTGGTTCAGGTGTTGCTGTAGTTGGTTACTGTAGATGGTTGCTGTAGTTGCAGTGGTTGCAGAAGTAAGTTGCTGTAGTTAGTTGCTGGAGTTGCAAAAGTATATTGCTGTAGTTGGTTGCTGTAGTTGGTTGCTGTAGTTTCTTCAGTTGCAGTTCTGAGTTGCAGGTGTTGCTGTTGTAGAAGTTGCTGAAGTGAGTGGCAGGTGTTCTTTAACCTGCATTAGTTGGTTCAGGTGTTGCTGTAGTTGGTTACTGTAGATGGTTGCTGTAGTTGCAGTGGTTGCAGAAGTAAGTTGCCGTAGTTGGTTGCTGGAGTTTCTTTAGTTGCGTTAGTGAGTTGCAGGTGTTGCTGGCAGCAGCGTAGTTGCAAACAGCAGTGGCGTGCAGCAGCTGCAGGTCTCTTATACAACAGCAGCTTCCATCCTGCTGCTGAACAGATTAAAACCAGAGAGGATTAATACACACACACACACACACACACACACACACACGAACAAATAAATACGCACTAAAATATAAACACACTCTGACCACAGCTGACCTACATCCACCACGCAGAGAAACATACGCCTGTGTGTGTGTGTGTGTGTGTGTGTGTGTGTGTGTGTGTGTGTGTGTGTGTGTGTGTGTGTGTGTGTGTGTGTGTGTGTGTGTGTGTGTGTGTGTGTGTGTGTGTGTGTGTGTGTGTGTGTGTGTGTGTGTGTGTGTGTGTGTGTGTGTGTGTGTGTGTGTGTCTTTGTGTGTGAGTGTAGGTGTGTGTGTGTACTAGGATTACAGTACAGTTGTATTTGCTGTATCACATGTGTGTGTGTGGCATTAATCTGTGGCGCAGAAGCATCCTACAGCCCCTGAACGCATCAACATATTTTTTTTGACTCGGGTCGTGACCCCCGCGATGGGACGGCTCTTATTTTCTCACAGTTTCACTATCAGTGAAGAGCAGACTGTCGTTAAGCAGAGCAGAGCTGCAACTTAAGGGCATCTCGAGTATTCATTTTCAGGTTTTCTCCGTGAGCAATATGTAAATGAGACAAATAAAAGATTACAATTTGACATGTTAGCTGCGGAGAAAACGAGATATCAGACTCTTGTTTGATAGATTTTTAATTTTTTCAAGAAAGACTAGAAAGCAGAAAAGCTTCCACTGCTTATGTCTGCTTCTAATATTTCCCAATAAATGTCTTCTAATGAAACTCACAAATAGATACAATTTAAATCCAAGAAAAGCTTGATTATAATACACAGTTTAAACAAATACATTTTATATGGAAAATCATTGCAAATCTCTCAGGGTTATAACAGACAATTATAACAGAGACAATTATTTTAGAATGTACACTTAATATTATTTTCTATTAAATTCAAAAATCTTACCAGCCTTCAGCTTTTTTTAAACTTTCATCCAGTTTTTTAGTATAACTATTTCAATGTGAGATGCTTCCTTCCAAAAAAAACGTTTGAAATTATTTGGTCGCCTCACAAAGTGTTTCCAGAAAATAAAACCTCCTCTCGGACTCTGATCTGAGGACAGGAAGTGAGAGTGAAGAGAGCAGCAGGGCATGCTGGGAGCTGGAGAAAGACGCCATCTGTCAGTCCGTCCTGCCAAATCCTCCACAGACACACACACACAAAGTGTAAAAAACACTGCTGTTTCTATGTTAACTTGCACAAAATAGTCAGGTTTTTGACAATTAGTTTGAAAAATAACCCCATTTGTGCTAAGTGCTCACATGGAAAATGGTTGGAGAAAAAAATGCGTATGACTGTTCAAATAATATTCCTGTTACAGTAACATGCAGCCGTACATTTCCTGATAAATGTTAAACCTCCTCATCATGACAGTCCGACAGGTTTGCCCTTTAAAGTAAAAACTACACCCACAAATAGATCATTTTTCATCATATTTGTCATGGTCTGGCTCTTGGCCATGACAAAAGAAGAAAAACTACTTGTGTTTCAATCAGTGCATTTTCACTAAGAAATGAATGTATTGTCATCAAAACAAAATTGTGTTTTCTTTTTCTGGCCATGTATGACAAAGGACTGCGACGACAGAAATAACCAAGAGGTCAAACTGCGGTGAAAAAACGATTGAGAGCATATTCTGAATGTCCTGTCTATCTGTCCAAAGAATGCTGTTAAAGCTGAATAAAATATTGGCATTAACCCATATCCCACATGTTTTAATTGGAAAACAAAATACTAAATTCGGGAAAAAAGGGTTACAAGACCAGTGAAAATAGTGGAATATTAATGTTAAGTCAGTGTTAATTCTGCATTAAACTGTGTGTGTTTGTGTGTTTGTGTGTTCCAGTATCTCCATGAGAACGGCGTGGTGCATCGTGACCTGAAACCAGAGAACCTGCTGTACGCTGATCTGTCGCTGGACGCTCCGCTGAAGATCGGTAACAAAAATAAACACCTTCACCCTCATGAGACTTTAACTGCAACAACACGCATCTGATGTTATGTAAATCTCTGTTAAAGATTCATCCATAAGGGTAACAGGACATGAGTAAATGTGACACCACTACAATTCATCTGGAGATAACAGAAACATTATATATATAGTCTTATTACACGGCTTAGTTGAATACTCAATTCAGAACATGTGACACGTTTTTAAAGGTCACCTATTATGCAAAATCCACTTCTTCATGTCTCTTCTACATCAACATGTGTCCCCTCTTCTTCATGTCTCTTCTACATCAACATGTGTCCCCTCTTCTTCATGTCTCTTCTACATCAACATGTGTCCCCTCTTCTTCATGTCTCTTCAACATCAACATGTGTCCCCTCTTCTTCATGTCTCTTCTACATCAACATGTGTCCCCTCTTCTTCATGTCTCTTCAACATCAACATGTGTCCCCTCTTCTTCATGTCTCTTCAACATCAACATGTGTCCCCTCTTCTTCATGTCTCTTCTTCATCAGCATGTGTCCCCTCTTCTTCATGTCTCTTCTACATCAACATGTGTCCCCTCTTCTTCATGTCTCTTCTTCATCAGCATGTGTCCCCTCTTCTTCATGTCTCTTCAACATCAACATGTGTCCCCTCTTCTTCATGTCTCTTCAACATCAACATGTGTCCCCTCTTCTTCATGTCTCTTCTACATCAACATGTGTCCCCTCTTCTTCATGTCTCTTCTTCATCAGCATGTGTCCCCTCTTCTTCATGTCTCTTCAACATCAACATGTGTCCCCTCTTCTTCATGTCTCTTCAACATCAACATGTGTCCCCTCTTCTTCATGTCTCTTCTTCATCAACATGTGTCCCCTCTGTGTAAAGAGACTCTGAAAGTTTCAGGAACAAAGATTCTCTCACTTTTTGTCCTGATCCATTTTTATAAAAACCTGTCTGAAAATGAGCTGATCAGATTTTGGCCACTTTATGATGTCATAACGATGTTTTGGCTTGTGTAACCATTAGCCAATCAACAACCAAGGTAACCCCCCCCACCCTCCCTTATCACCTGAATCTCCTCCGAGAGCACCATTGAGTTCTTTGTAACCAAATATCTCTCAGAGGGGCGTGGGGAGGGGCTCCTTATTTTCATCTAAAGTAACAGACAGAGAATCAGCACTTTGGAAACAGGGCTGAAACAGAGGGGATTATGGGATGCTGCAATGATCTGTTTGGTGTTTCAGCCAATCAGAGACAGGTTCTGTATATATCTGAGACCTATAATATATTGATGAAGAACAGTATAATAGGGGACCTTTAATCCAGTAGTACAGTACGCTGTCAGGGACTATAATGACCGTTGCTAAGGAGGATCAAGAAAGAGAAAGGAAAAGAGGTTAAAAGACGGAGCGCTGGACGTCAGATAAATGAGCAGAAGAAGGCAGACAGGAAGTGAACACTAACTGGAACACGGTATGGGCTCTGCAGTGTTTAAGGACGAGTCATAATGAACCCCTTTTTTCATATCTTCAATGCATGCCAAAGTTATAAAAATGACAGAACCTGAACGCAGCATCATGTCCTGTCCTTCAGTTTGAACACAAAGAGAATATATAAGATAACAGACTCATTATCAGGTCCAGTTATTAGGCGGATCTGCCTCCAGATGGTCTGCCTGCAGCGAGCGTCTACAGATGGAGGAAGATCACATTCAGCCTCCTCTTTCTCACCAACACTTCCCTTTACTTTACTCTGCTCCTCTTCACGCCCTCATTTCACTTTAAATAGAAACTGCAGAAACACCTCAGTGCAAGAAACAGCTTTTCAACAGCCGAGGGGAACGATGAATCATATGTTTTTTTTTCAAATTAACGGAGGAATGTTTTTTCTCTCTTACAGCCGACTTTGGTCTTTCCAAAATCATCGATGATCAGGTGACCATGAAGACGGTCTGTGGCACGCCGGGCTACTGCGGTGAGTTTATCTGTGATAACACCAGCAGGACTGTCCTCTCCTGCTAATGTTCAGGTGTATATCAGTATGTAGTGTCTCTACTTTAAAGAGTCCTCTCCTGCTGATGTTCAGGTGTATATCAGTATGTAGTGTGTCTACTTTAAAGAGTCCTCTCCTGCTGATGTTCAGGTGTATATCAGTATGTAGTGTCTCTACTTTAAAGAGTCCTCTCCTGCTGATGTTCAGGTGTATATCAGTATGTAGTGACTCTACTTTAAAGAATCCTCTCCTGCTGATGTTCAGGTGTATATCAGTATGTAGTGTCTCTACTTTAAAGAGTCCTCTCCTGCTGATGTTCAGGTGTATATCAGTATGTAGTGTCTCTACTTTAAAGAATCCTCTCCTGCTGATGTTCAGGTGTATATCAGTATGTAGTGTCTCTACTTTAAAGAGTCCTCTCCTGCTGATGTTCAGGTGTATATCAGTATGGAGTGTCTCTACTTTAAAGAATCCTCTCCTGCTGATGTTCAGGTGTATATCAGTATGTAGTGTCTCTACTTTAAAGAGTCCTCTCCTGCTGATGTTCAGGTGTATATCAGTATGTAGTGTCTCTACTTTAAAGAGTCCTCTCCTGCTGATGTTCAGGTGTATATCAGTATGTAGTGTCTCTACTTTAAAGAGTCCTCTCCTGCTGATGTTCAGGTGTATATCAGTATGTAGTGTCTCTACTTTAAAGAGTCCTCTCATGCTGATGTTCAGGTGTATATCAGTATGTAGTGTCTCTACTTTAAAGAGTCCTCTCCTGCTGATGTTCAGGTGTATATCAGTATGTAGTGTCTCTACTTTAAAGAGTCCTCTCCTGCTGATGTTCAGGTGTATATCAGTATGTAGTGTCTCTACTTTAAAGAGTCCTCTTCTGCTGATGTTCAGGTGTATATCAGTATGTAGTGTCTCTACTTTAAAGAGTCCTCTCCTGCTGATGTTCAGGTGTATATCAGTATGTAGTGTCTCTACTTTAAAGAGTCCTCTCCTGCTGATGTTCAGGTGTATATCAGTATGTAGTGTCTCTACTTTAAAGAGTCCTCTCCTGCTGATGTTCAGGTGTATATCAGTATGTAGTGTCTCTACTTTAAAGAGTCCTCTCCTGCTGATGTTCAGGTGTATATCAGTATGTCGTGTCTCTACTTTAAAGAGTCCTCTCCTGCTGATGTTCAGGTGTATATCAGTATGTAGTGTCTCTACTTTAAAGAGTCCTCTCCTGCTGATGTTCAGGTGTATATCAGTATGTAGTGTCTCTACTTTAAAGAGTCCTCTCCTGCTGATGTTCAGGTGTATATCAGTATGTAGTGTCTCTACATGTCTCCGTGCTTTAATGTTCAAAAAGCTCTTTATTTTTCTCATACTGCCTGTGCTGCAGCACCTCTTTTCACCCTCTGTCTGAAACCAGAGCCTAGTCTGCTCTGATTGGTTAGCTGGCCGGCTCTGTTGTGATTGGTCAACCGCTTAGAGATGTCCCGCCCCTTAGCCTATCACGTAGGAGCACTAGCCAATAGAAGTGCGAGAGTTACATATAGATGTCATTATGTTACGGAAGTAAACAAAGGGGTCCAATGGAGGCGTTTCAGGCAGGGGGGAGTGTGTGGGAGAGAAACTCTATGGAATTGTAATTTTCAGACCATTAACATGCACAAAAACGATATAACACACTACAGGAAAGATAAAACCCCACCCAAAAAGGAGTAAAGAGCCCCTTTAATTATGTAGTTCTTAGAAAACATCCACCATCTTGACGAAACATGTGCAGCGCGTTTCTCCTAATGGTAATGCTTCGGGCCGTTGAGGCGCGTTTGCCACCGTAGCTTTGTTTAATAAATCATTTGAATTCATGTTTTAGTTATTACAATTGTTACTAACAGCCTCTCTGTGCGTGCTTTTTGTAAATGTGTTGTTCACCTTACCTCAGGTGGCTAAAGAGAGGATAGGTTTAAGATAGACCACTTCTTCCCAATTGCCTTCTACTAATCTCACACCCCCACTTTACTTTAACTCGGCCCCAACGATGATAGTCAGAATCAGAATCTGAAAATCTTCATACAGAGGGGAAATGCTCATTGTTAAAGCAAAAGTGAACAGCCAAAAATAGCAAAATATTAATTAAGAGGCATGAATAAAATATTAAAGATAAAAATAGAAATTACACAAATTACAATTTACAAAAATACACATCAGAAGTACCAGTAACAGTGTTTTTTAGTTGAAGTACCGTATCATATCAGCTGGAGATGTGTTCAATGACCTGTGTTGTTGCTTTTATGTCCGACAGCGGCTGCAGCGATGCGTTCACTGCACCCGCTGCTCTGTGGGATTTCACATTACTCTCAGTTGGAGCTTCTGTCGGCCATCTGGCATCTAACGGGCTCTTCTCTCTCTCTACACCCGTAGCTCCGGAGATCCTGCGAGGGAACGCGTACGGCCCCGAAGTGGACATGTGGTCGGTGGGCGTCATCCTCTACATCCTGTGAGTCCAATCACACCTCCAAGAAACATTCAGGATTAATCACTCCGTCTGTTTGGGCTCACTGTCTGTCTCATAACAGTGATTTTATTAGTTTGCTTAAAGGTCCCCTATTATACAAAATCCACTTCTTCATGTCTCTTCTACATCAACATGTGTCCCCTCTTCTTCATGTCTCTTCTACATCAACATGTGTCCCCTCTGTGTAAAGAGACTCTGAATGTTATATAAAAACCTGTCTGAAAATGAGCTGATCAGATTTTGGCCACTTTGTGATGTCATAACCATGTTTTGTCTTGTGTAACCATTAGCCAATCACCAACCAAGGTAACCCCCCCCCCCCCACACCTTATCACCTGAATCTCTTCCTAGAGCACCATTGTGTTCTTTTTAACCAAATATCTCTCAGAGGGGCGTGGGGAGGGGCTCCTTATTTTCATCTAAAGTAACAGACAGAGAATCAGCACTTTGGAAACAGGGCTGAAACAGAGGGGATTATGGGATGCTGCAAAGATCTGTTTGGTGTTTCAGCCAATCAGAGACAGGTTCTGTATATATCTGAGACCTATAATATATTGATGAAAAACAGTATAATAGGGGACCTTTAAGAGGGACAGTGCACATAACAAATAACCGATGCATCATAATTCTCATTACCATTGAAAAATATGTTAAATTATTTGTTTGGGTTTCACTGTCTGTCTCATAACAGTGATTTTATTAGTTTACTTAAGAGGGACAGTGCACATTAATTAACATAAACAAATAACCAATTGTGATTATTTTGGCTGATATTTCAATATCTATATACAGTAATTCACAATATTGCAAGGATTTTTGCATCATGATTCTCATTACCATTGAAAAATATATTAAATTATTAGGGTGTAATTTATTTAAGAGGATCTGTCCCAAACAAAAGTGTTTCTTACGTCTTTAGAATACAATTTGTAGCTTGAAATATCTCTCCTGCTTTCTTCAATTTGAATATTGCACACATTTTTATCAAATCAATTAATTGTGCAACTATATACTGTATATATTTGGCTATAAATGCACCAGAGATATTATATTATCATCTGAATTCTCTAGACAGATGTGTTATTGTTCAATAAGAGTATACTAGGGGACCTATGCAACATAGAGACTCACAATACGAAGACATGCCAATTTAAGAAAACAAACATGAAATAGCAGCAATATGGGGACAGCAGTACAGACACAGAGGACAGTCTAGTGAATATTTATTTTGTGCTGACAGATCTCAGTAGTAATGAGAAACACAGCTTCCTGTTTATCAATTTCCTCAGACATGAACTGGATGTGTTAATGGAGACTATAAATGGGTTTACTGTCGATAATGACTTAATGTCGGTGTACAGGCGGAAATGTTCTGATCACTCAGTAATAATGTCACAGAAGCCCAGAGAGTCAGATGAGAAAAAAATGAAATCTGGTTGCTGGATAATCTTTTTTAATTCCTTTTAAAAAAAACTGTAAAAATTGACTAAAGGAACTTTTTGTGTCTTTATTTTTGTAGTACTCGTTTCGGCCACAAGAGGGTGGAGTGCACCACTATCCCATGGTCTAAATTAGATTTCTAATAAGAATATTACATGTCAATTCTACAGAGCAGCGGTTCCCAACCTTTTTCAACTCAGAGCCCACTTAAAGGGGACCTATCATGCAAAATGCACTTTTGTACGTCTTTTATACATGAATATGTGTCCCCGGTGTGTCAGGGAACTCACCATGTGTCAGAAAACACAACCCTCTCTCTTTTCCTCCATACCCAAATCTCTAAAAACGGGGCTGCAACGGATCTGATAAAAACTGATACAGATTTGAAATATCTCTGACGTCAGAAACAAGGAGCTCCGCCTATATGGGCAACTCTCCACCTATCAGGGGAATGAGAGGTTGCCGTGGCATGGTAACAGCATGGTAACAGCATGGTAACAGCATGGTAACATGACGCTCGTGCCTCACCCCCCTCCTTTGCAGGGGGGCGTGGTCAGCTGCAGCTCATAGAGTGGCGAAGTCCCTCCCCTTCCGGTTGAGCCCCATGGGACCTTATTTCGGAAAAGTTATGCATTGAAGTCAATGGAGAGAGAAAGATTATCTTTCAATCCCGTTTGAATTGTGCCACGAATTACACATATGATGTTTGTCAATTTAAAAGATAATTTTGCAAGTCAAAAAGAAAAATATTTGTCGTAAAACTGTGAAGTAACACATTTGTTTGTGTGAAACGCTCAATGAACTACATCTCTGGTCAACAACACACGTCACCAAGATGGCCGTCACTACTGTCTTGTCAACAAAACGATTGACTTCCCCACTATCACCACAATGAAACACGTCCTGAAGAATGTCATGCAAAGCTGCCTGCCTGCCTTCCTTTGATTCGCTCTGAACTGCCTGGTCGTTTTAATGTTTAATGTCAACCATTTGTGCAGATAGCATGAAGTAGAGAAGATCGCCGATGCTAACGTTAGCGTTAGCATTTCTCCCCCGGGCTTAAATGGTGTATTATAGAATGATCACACCGGTGACAGTACTATTCAAAGGGTTCACGAAATATGACTACTACTCTTACTGTTTAACATTTTGGGTTACTTAATGTTACTTCATGTTAAGGCTAATAAAAATGACAAGGCTGTAATGCTAACTAACGTGCTAGCTACTAGCTAGGTAGCTAACTTGATCAAGCAACTCCTGGTCCTTTCATCAGACGGGAAGCAAAAGAACGAGCAAGACCCATTGCTGGTATAATAACAACCTGGTACTAAGCACACAGGCATCTTGTTAAAGTTATCTTATCTTAGCCAGCGCCATATAGATAGATTATATCTATATTGCGCTGATCTTAGGTATCTGAATGGTGGAGGAAAACAATTGTGACATCACTTACGCGACTCTGGGATTTGTAGTCTTTCTAGTTACGTATTTTTCATAGTCTTATATTTCAACAGTTTTTCGACAAACTGTGACTTTTTTTACATGGAAATTATTTTTTAAGATTGACAAACATCATATGTGTAATTCATGGCACAATTCAAACGGGATCGAAAGATAAGTTTTCTCTCCCCATTGACTTCAATGCATAATTTTTCCGAAATAAGGTCCCATTACCCGGAAGTAAGTGGGCGTGACTTCGCCACTCTATTTGCCACAGAATCAGCCCTTGCAAAAACAGGGCAATACAGCAAATAGAGCGAAATGAGGCATGGCTAAAATGCATGATCTGTTTGGTATTTTGAAAAAAAAACTTCACAGACATGTTTTATATAGGTATGGCCCTACAATATATTATTCAAATATAGCATGATAGGTCCACTTTAAGAATCGAATTTTTTTTCGCGGCCCACATTCAACCATAAACAATACGGAGGCTAAATAAAGTTCTGATTGGTCGATTCAGAACATGTAACACGTTGTTAATCCAGTAGAACAGATCCCTGTCAAGGACTGTAATGACCGTTGCTAAGGAGGATCAAGAAAGAGAAAGGAAAAGTATGGGCTCAGAACAGTCTCATAATACACACATGCACACAGAAGGATTCACACTTGTATTTCCGGATCCACACTTGTGTTTTTCAATGCACACACAAATGTGTTCCGTTTCATATACATGTAAATAAAATCCAAATACAGAAAAAAGTTTTACATATGTATTTTTGATCCTCACATATTTGTTTTCCGTTTAAAACCGCTGCACCTGCAAACACAACCCGCTTTCTGTGCATGGATCGCTGTGCATTCGTGTGTGGGTTTTTTGAGACTCCCCTGACGGTCACCCGATTCGTACTTGTAATTTTTTCTATATATAGCCAATCAGATGTCTCCTCAATTCTAAGCCAATCACATTAGCGCGCCCCCACGAGGGTAGATTTCTTGCGTTCATGACGTAGCGCTTCATGTACGCATTTTGCGCTGTCCGGAGCTGACAGGTCCATGGAGCCTGCCTGCAGGCGCTAATCTCAGGACACCTCCACTCTCAGTACATTGCCACTTTTCGAACAGGAAATGCACGCAAATACAATCCTTTATATTATTAAGGTACAGTGCCACTTTCCGAACCATTAATGAATGCTTGTGTACACAAAAACGGCAGGCAAAACCGTTTTAAATGTGTGTTTCCTGTATGGCGAATACAGCTGCTTTATTGATGTCTGTATGAAGTTGTTGTGAGTGTGGAGGGAGCAGCTACAGGTTAGCTTAGCCTAATCGATCAGTGCACTACGAAGCCAGTGCTAGACAGTGAACTGTCAACGGGGGGAGCCCCGCCGGTCATTATCGGCCGATATTCACTCTTAATAGTTTGATCGGTGCTTTCTATAAAGGCCGATCAGGAGAGCTGGATCTGATCGATATGGACATAAACGCGAGTGAAGTTTTAGAGAGGGAGGGAGAGAGGAAAAGACAGGATCCGTTACTCCCGTGTTATTAGCCATATCCGGTCATAGTCCGGTAATTACCTGCTAACGGAAACTCTGCTACACAATTCTTCTTCTTCTTCTTCTTATTATTATTGAAACATGACCGGTAAGTTTCAAATTTGTCCGGTAAAATAAATTCTGTCCGCGGAAACCCTGCTCCGGACAGCGCAAAATGCGTAGGCTATATGAAGTGTCATGAACGCAATAAATCATACCCTCGTGGGGACGCGCTCATGTGATTGGCTTAGAATGAAGGAGACATCTGATTGGCTATAGATAGAACAAATTACAAGTACGAATCGGGTCACCGTCAGGGGAGTCTAAAAAAACCCACACACGAATGCACAGCGATCCATGCACAGAAAGCGGTTTGTGTTTGCAGGTTCAGGGGATTTAAACGGAAAACAAATATGTGAGGATCAAAAATACATTATGTAAAACTTTTTTCTGTATTTGTATTTTATTTACATGTATATGAAACGGAACAATTTGTGTGTGCATTGAAAAACACAAGTGTGGATCCGGAAATACAAGTGTGAATCCTTCTGTGTGCATGTGTGTATTATGAGACTGTTCTGAGCCCATAGAAAAGAGGTTAAAATAACACAAATCATAATGTTTTGCAAAAAGAACAATTATTAAATTATAAAAAAACAGAAGATTAGCATTGATGGACAGAGAAAGACTTAGAAAATGGATCAACACAATTATTTCTGATTTGCCATATAATCCGTATAATGTTGTATAACTGTGACATTTGTAAAGTCATTCAGCCATTGTGTGAGCCACAAGTAACATATTGAAAGCAGTTATATCATGAACTGTACTTCCTGTTCTCCAGACTCTGTGGGTTCGAGCCCTTCTTCGACCCGAGGGGAGATCAGTACATGTACAGCCGAATCCTCAACTGCGACTACGAGTTTGTGTCTCCGTGGTGGGACGACGTGTCCCTCAACGCCAAGGATCTGGTGAGTTCCTCCTCTGGACATTTGCAGCCATTTTGCATCTTTTTCAGGTCCTTTTCGGTGTCTTTTTGGTCATTTTGAGTCTCTTTTAGTGACATTTTGTAGGTGAATGCTTGGAGGGCTCTTGCTCACTTGGACCTGTCTTTTTTTTTGTAATTTAAATCGTTATTGTCACATTATACATGGCAACAACATTACAATCATGTAACAAAAGGCCAGCAAGGCAATACAAAAATAAAAATAAAATAAAAGGCTAGGGATATGTCTTCATGTTAATATATTCTTGAAGATACATGTAACTATTGTTCCAGTCAAATGTCTTTGTTTTGAGTCTTGTATAGAGTACATTTTTCCCACTTTCTGTCTGTTCTATCTCAATTTATGAGTCAGTTTTTCCATCTAAAAGATTTATTCCACAATTGTTACCCATTGGTTTTTTGTTGGAGGTGCTTCACTTGGACCTGGTTTAAATGACCCTGTTTATTTCCCTGCAGGTCAGTAAGCTGATCGTCCTCGACCCTCACAAGCGTCTCAGTGTGCGGGAGGCCCTGCAGCACCCCTGGGTGCTCGGAAAAGCCGCCCGCTTCTCTCACATGGACACCGCCCAGAGGAAACTACAGGAGTTTAACGCTCGCCGCAAACTTAAGGTGAGGTCTTGGTGCGGACAGCAGAAGCGAGAAACAGCAAAGAGTTCAAATCCAACTCTTAACGTACATACTGTTAGTCTGTGTGAAGATGAAGTGTGTGTGTTAAATAATTCCTCTTGTTCATTAAGCTTCAACACTGTGTTTAGACTTTAAGAATCTGTCAACCAGGAATACTACAGAATCATTGTGGCAGTTAATGTTGCCTCGAATAGAAAATACACAGGCAAATCTGTTGAATCAACCTTAGAGGAAGTTGTCTTTTGAAGGAAGAAAATGTTTACATTTGTGTTTGTTAGAATATTATCACTCGTCACCGGCTTGAGCTTCAATCTCAGGATACATGTATTTATTATCCTCTCAAGAATGGAAGTAGTCATCACATACAGAGCATTTGGTACAACTAGTTCCTGAACAGTGTCCTTCACATGCTGATATCCAAGAGAGGGAGTTACACAGTCACAAGATGGAGGAATACAAAGCAGTATTCAATGTTTAGTTCAGATTAGCTCCACGTCAGAAATGATATGTCTATCTCCATAGAGGCTGAATCATCATGTTAATCACATAGCTATCATATGCCTAAAACAGTTCTGATGCTCTTCTAGGTAATCATACATCCTGTCATGTACACAGCTACAGTTGGGATACCTTTGTTATCATGTGTACTCTGATATTGGAAGAGGACATTCAGTATTTTCCAAACAGTGTTTAATAGAAGCGTGTATTTCTGTCAACAGGCTGCCATGAAGGCCGTAGTGGCCACCAGTCGGATGCACGAGAGCTCGCGGCGTCGCACCGACAGCTGTGAGATCCCGGGCTCAGGGACGTCGAGGCAGAGCAGCATGCAGCAAGACCCGCCTCCAGAGTCCACAAGCCCCTCCCCCGCTGACGAAGAAGCCCCGCCTCCAGACCAGGACGACGAATCAAAGCCCTCCGACCAAAGTGCCCTCACCCCGTCTCCTCCACGCACCCCAGAGCCCCCCCCTAGCTCTGAAGCCACGCCCACGGGCCCCGCCCCCACGCCAACAGCCCCACCCCCCACACCCACAGGCCCCACCCTTATCAGGCCACCTCTCCGTGTCGATGGGATTCGACAGGCGTCCGTCATCCCCAAAACGATGCTAGTTCAGCCCCGCCTGCAGCAGAAAAGCTTCTCATTGGTCGAGCCCAGTTCCAAGGTCAACGCCACAATGGCCACGCCTCCAAGTACCAGCAGCCTCAGCAACGGCTTCATGCCGGGGGCGGAGCCTGCCAGTAAGACCGCCCCCTGCCAGTGATCACATATCGCTTTTAGAAAAACTTAACTTCATCTTCCTCTTCTCTAAAAACATCTCAAATCACTTAAAGGGACCAAATGAACCTAAAGCTTCTGTTTCAAACGGAGCTAACGTTTAACATTAAACTTCCATATCTGCAGCTACGCTAACGTGCTAACAGATACACTTGAGGGTTTGTTGGGTGTTTTCGCAGCCAGGACAGTTGTTCAGTCTTCATTGTTGAGCTGCTGGTTTTTAGTAAGGAGGCTGGACATGATTCAAGGGACTTACGAGTTACTCAAGCTAGGCAAGAACATTGCCCTTTTAGGTCGTTATATGGAACCTTGGGGTGGGAGTGTGGGAGAATATGACAAGAAAATCCTTTTAGGGATATTCTCTGAGATTAAAGTGGTCAATTTATGAGAATAAACACTCACATTTATGAGAAAACTACATTTTAAAACTATTCTGGATTATACATTTCTGAGTAAAGTGAAGATCCGACCTTGCAAAGTGAAGCCATGTGGATCTTCGACAAAAACATAAACCATAGTTCCTTACATTTGTGACTTAAATCTCAGAGAATTTGGAAAAAAAATGTCATGCAAATGTAGAGTTTGATCTCAGAGACAATTTTTCTTGGAAATGTGTGCTCTCTTTATTAATTTAATATGTTAACCTAGCATGGTCTTGGGAAACCGACAATAAATCAGTTTGGCCTGTACTTAAATGCCAATTAAAACACTTTGATAGTAAGAAGTTCAGACCTAGTCCAGATGTGGTTAGCCTAGCTTAGCATAAATACTGGAAGCAGTGGAAAACAGCTCAAACACCTACCAACACCTCAGTAGCTCAACCACATATCTTGTTTGTCTCTATAATAAGTGGTAGCGACCTTTCAATCATAAGGCCGCTCCTTTATCGTCTATTTTACTCTAAATGGGACCATCATTTAAAAAATAAACATCATGCTGTATTAATAAACACTAGAAACTAGCGGTTTGAACCATAAACTCATTAAGAAAATGTTTACTGGGATCATTTATCAAGTAAGAGGCAAGGTCATTTTCTCATAGACTCTCATAGACATTTTTCAGAACCAGAAAGGTTGCCCCCTGCTGGTTATTAGAGAGAGTGCAATTTGAGGTACTTCCATTAAGGCTTTACTTTTGAGACTTTAAGGCTCTTTGTTTACACTGTCTTAGGTTTGATCCGCACAAAAACAGAAATGTAAAACCAGAGACGCTGCACTGAGGCACTGGGCGGATGGATACAATGAAGAAATAGTTCTGCCTCGTACTTGAAATGGGACAAACAGAGACTCTGGTTTCTTCCTCTTTTGGAAACAGAAGGTGACTTTTTCCTCGAATGCTCAGGACGGAGCTGATTGTATTTTATTATTAAACACATGTCTGCATGGACACGGGTGTGAAGGACGAGGAGAAACAGAGCAGCTTCTGCATCTCTTTGAGTGTCGGGGCAGCTTCAGACAAAGAGACTGAGAAAAGTTTGAAGAGACGATCTGCTTTGTTTTTTTTAAATCCTTTCTACTCTTTACTGGCGACTCCCGCTGGATTTATTCTGCAGCCGAATGAGTAGATAGATCCGGTGTTTATTTCAGTGTCGTGTTAGTGAGTAAAACGCAGTGTTGTTTACACTTTTATCAGCAGTGGTGATGATGATCTCCTGTTTGCACTGTACATAGTTTGGTTTTAAGATTATATCTGACAACTTTACCGCCCGACCAGAGACACAATCAGTGTTCAGACCCCCCAAATATACCAAATTTGACTTTCGTCATTAAAGGGTATCTTTTAACCTGGAAACTATTTTCCCATGTTTAAATGTATAATGGGGGCAGCAATTCTAGATATTAGTCCAGTATTGATCGAGAGTGCTGCAGCCAGGCAATGAAATCCTATCAGGAAATTAATCACCGTCAAATTAAATCCATTTCAAGTTTGTTGTATACAACATCTGACAACATTTTGGAAAGAAAGAAATAAAGATTAAATTATTACATTTAATAATATTTTGGGGTTTGCTCTTTCCTGTAGGTTTTTGTGCATGTAAATAAATGTTTAAAGCAAAATTGGGATGGACACAATTACAAATAGAGCGGGGGGAAAGGGTCTAATTTCTCTGTATGGGTCCTTTCTCCCTAATGTTGTCAAATATTCTTAGACATCTTGCTCTGGTAGGGGCAAAAACAAGCACTCTTAGTGGACATTGACAGTGACAGTGATCAATAACATTGCAACCCATTTCGTAGCTTCAGTCTGCAAATTAACAAAAAAATGTCATCCCCAAGACATAACAACGTGGAGAGATAGGGTCCAAGTTGAAGAACCGAAGTAAACCTTTCAATGAAATCCTTTGGACTACACGTTCTACCTCTCTTTGTACAGGGGCTTCCAAAATAATAATAAAGAAAATCAGACTGGAAATCAATCAATCTTGAACCCACCGGAAACAAAAACACACAAAACTACGGTGGCCAGGATGGACCAAACTGAAGTAAAGGTTCTCTGCCACCAAATAAAATGCTCAATTTTAAAGAAGCTTTTCTTTTTAACCCTCCTGTTGTCTTCGGGTCAAATCTGACCGATTTACTACTTTCATCAATCATACATTTTTTGTTTTACATTCGACTGCATTAAGGCTTTATGATATCCTTCACAGTAGACATTTGAACATATACAATAGCTGATCACCACTTTCATTGCATTTTGGATGATTTAGTCAACTTTGTAACACCCATGGTGTTCCCGGTCAAAAATGACCGCCATAAAGAAAAGGAATTAGTAACCATCCGGATCAGATAAAACACACACACACACACGTGCACACACACTAGATGTGTTTTCCCCCCCTTATGTGCCCAATCCCCCCATGTGAATCACACCTGGCACAGACACACAAACACACACAGAACAATTTGATACATTTCCCACCCTAATGTGCCCATCCCCCCACATGGATCACACGTGGCACACGCAAGACATGTTCAGTGTCTATTCTTTGTATATTTACTGCAGTTTTTCATGTATACCAGTAGTCTGATACAATATTTACAGTTTGAAAGGGTGTTAAATGACATTTGGTGATGATTAATGGTTTTTGTGTTACTGTAATAGCAGTTAAAACAGGACCGGTCGAACACCAAAGTAAGGGGGGAAAACGAAGACAACAGGAGGGTTACAGAGGAACCAGCCCTCCCAAAAATGGAGCCCAAAAAGTCCTGGAAACACATTTTTATTTTGGGTGGAAAAGGACGCAATTATTGTAATTCCTTATTACAGTTAAAAATGTATTATGATGATGTTTATTATAAGATCCCATCGTGTGGCTTTTTTCCATGGGTAGGGATTTTAGTTTAATGCAAATTCGCCCTGTAAAAGAAATATACCACTTTCCATCTTGTAAATTCAACATCAAGTAAAGCCTTTGTAACATGAAATCTGTGTCAAATGTTAACATGATGCTAAAGGTATATACGCTTTTTATTTACTAACACACTTGAGATTTCAATGGAGAAGAAAACTTCATCCTTAAAAATGTTTACATCATCCATTTAAAAAAAAAAAAAAACCACTTAACATGATCTGTAATAATCAATTAGTAGATTTTAGGTCAATTTTATTAAATTTTCCTCCAGGTTTTGTGCACATTTTAAATACTTTTTTAAGACGTTATTGGGCAGAAAAGCTCTGTGATTGGTTGTGAGTCAAAGTGGGCGTTTCTTGATCAAAGCTTTGAAGATCTGACTGATGTGCAGTTTGGTTCCTCTATAAAAGATCTGGTCAAAACGAGTCTTCTGCTGTAATAACTTCTTGCCAAATGAACTCACTGGATAACTATCTGTCATGGTAGAAAGCATGTACTCTGTATATTTGATTTACATATATACTCTTATGTAAAAACATGAATATTTTTGCTTCTCTTTATTCGGAGGGACAGTCCGGGGGCGGGAGGGTTAAACTGTGTTTATTGTTTTGTGTTTGCTGAGTGAAATCGTACCTTTTATTTGATTTTAAAGGATATAAGCTGACAGTGTGACAGCTGTTAACATGTGTATCTCTGCATGTATTATTTACTTTCTGTTGATCATATCAGATTAAAGACTCAGTTTGCCTCCTGCAGGTCTCTGACTCTCAGGGTTTTTACATCACATGTACAGTAAAAGATGAATCATCTTCTGGAGGAAACACAGAGACATGGACAGATTTCTGTTTACATCCCGGGTTGAGAAGACTCTAAGACACAGATAAGAACACTAACAGACTCAAAATGACCAAAAAAAGCAACACGAAGAGACATAAAAATCTAACTAATGCTTAAAAACTACAAAGAAATGCAGAACAGCATTCCTGAGAGCTGCCAAAAGACACAAAACACCACAAAAGACATGCATCAAAAACGTAAAAAGACACAAAATACTTGTCAACCAATCTCCATCCCGGTGTATCTTCTGCAGTATCTAATAAGAGCCACAAAAATAGATTTAGAAATAACTCAAATAAACAAAAAAGCGCAAAACAACAACATTGAAACGCAAATCAACTAAAAAAAACATTCAAAACGACCTCAACAAAAAGATAAAAAGATTTTACAGTCTAAAGCTTCAACACGTGCAGAGGCTGAGCCCAGGTGAGTGAGATGTTTTTTTACTTTTACAGGGGTATGATCAAAATATACACGTAAATATATATTTACACGCTCACAGCAAAAGCAGAAGTCATCTCTGTGTCCTTTGATGAACCCACCAACTGTTTAAAGATTAATATTTTTATTGTTAAACATATTAAGTTCATAAATCACGACATATTGCAGTCATTTAAGCTTTCCAGTCATCAGCTGGTCCTTCTGTTTACAGCAGGGGTGTCCAACCTTTTTTCACCGAGGGCCACATACAGAAAAATATACGAAGGGCTGGGCCGCTAGGTATATTGCGTCATAAGTTCTGAGTTAGAAGTATCACATTTTGGTAAATTATGGTTGATATTGATGAAAAAACACACAGCTCTCCGTAGGGTTTCATTTATTGTGTTGGCATCTCATTCCTTAAAACAGGAGGCTCAGATATAATAAGAGAAAATATGAAGGGTATATTTCAAGGTTGTTATGTAAATAAGTTATTGGGCTTTTTTCTTATCAACTAAGATTTGTTAGAAAACGTTTCCAACTTTAATTGACTGAATTTATTTAAAAAGTGGACTTATTAACACATGAATATTGTGTAATATATTTGTACATATATATTTAAGAAGTACAATATATGAAAAGCACAAGTTTCATTTGTGGGCCATATTCCATTATACTTTTTTAATTGGCTGAGGGCCGAGTTTGGACACCCCTGGTTTACAGCTTTGTGTGTGTGTCCGGTCTGGGACTTGAACCGGTGACCTCTGAGTCTCCATCAGTCCTGTGAGCAGCATTTCTCTCTGTAGGCCGACCCCTCTTGTACCATCCCACAACAGTACGTGGACCCGGACCTCCACTCTGCTGCCGGTACCTCCCACACTGCGGTGACACTGTAAGCCCCGCCCTCCTGTGACATCATCCGTGACACAATGGCGCCCGACGATGTCACTTCTGCGTCGTCGACCCACCACAGGACGTCCTGCAGAGGTGAGTTTAACCCGGTGAGGACGCAGACCAGCAGGTGAGGAGATCCGGGGTCCAGAGAGAAAGGGATGGATGATAACATCTGAACAGATGGAGCAGAACCTGCAGATAGACGTGGAGTAAGATAAGATAAGATACGATAAGATACGATAAGATACGATAAGAAGTACTTTATTGATCCCAATTTGGGAAATGTTTGTGTTGCAGCAGCATAAAAAAGACATGGCAATGTACAATACAAATTAAGGAGACTAGAAATAAACAAGAAAGTAAAAAATATACATGTTGAATTTACACATTTGTAGAAGAATTTCAAGATAAAAGGGGGTACATTTGAATCAACTAGTAGAAAATAATGACAATGGTGCGACGTCAAAATAAAACAGATTTCTAGGTTGAACAAACATTGTTTGCTTGTCAAAACTTAGATCAGGAAAAACATTTGTAATATCATGATTGAATGTTATGCAGATGATATGCAACTGTATGTCCAGATAAGTCTAGTATTGATGTCTTTCATTGTCTCTATAGCTTTGCTGATATTGAGCATATGATTTCCCCACCAGTCAAGAGGAAGTTGGCCTGTTAGTGACAGAAGCTCTATGAACTAAAAACGACCACAAAGAGACGTAAACTTAGTACAAATAGACGCAAAACGACCGCATAGAGAAGCCACACGAGACTTAAGAGACATAAAACACCTTAAAGAGACACAAAATGACACAAAATGACTAAAAACAAGAAGAAGAATAAGTAAAATTACTACTAATACAACTACTACAGACTACAAATAGTGACACAATGTAATCCCATAACTTTCTTTTGACTGATTGTAATCTTTTTTCAAATTATTTTCATCCTCTCATTTCATCTTTAAAGTTTTGCATTGTACCTGCTGTCTTGTTCTGATGGTGAATATGAAGCTCGTCTTCATCAGCGTCCACTAGCAGAAGAGTCCCATCACTGAAAACCATCGAGAACGAGACCGACTGTTTGCTGGGTCGAGAGCAAACAACCCAACATCTGCAGGAGGAAACAGATTGTTATTACAAACTCAGGAAACACTGAAACACAAACAGAAAATTATTATTTATGTTTTTGTCTCACCGCAGGAGGACGATGAAGGTCAATGTTGTGTCCATCCTGAAGTCTCAGCGTTTATAAAGTCCTGGTGAAGGAGAATGACTGTAAAAATAAAAGTTATTGGCATTGATATATGTTTTTAAATTTTTCTAAAGTCCTTATAATAATGTCAGAGTTCGTAATTCTTAAGATCTTAAGTCACTTTATCTTGAAAGAAATTACGTTTTTTGACCCAGGTTTCATAAAGAAGTCCACATGAAGGCTTTCCTTAAATACAAGTCCACATAATGTGTTTTGAACTTTATTTAAGGTTCCCCAAATGATGTTTAATGTCCTCAATAGAAGTTTTAAAGAAAAAGATCTACCTTAGTTAATGGTCCTTGAATTCGCTGCTGCAGTCAGTCTGAAGTCTTGCAGATCTGCTGTGTGTTAGTGAGACTTTTTTAACGGGAAAACATGAAAACTGTTGTTGCAGAACGGCAAACGTCTCCAGGGAGAAGCTGCTCTGGGATCGGACCGTTGGTTCAGTTGGTGAAGGACAGAAAAACAGGACATTTTTCTCACTATTGCTGTTGATCCGAAATTGTTGTTGGTGTCTTAGAAAAGATACCTAAATATAACTGTCATAATGTATTAGAAACACTCTGTAGTTCTTCCTGATCATCAAATCATTTTATTATTTTACTATTTAGCTTTCATTAAATGTTTAATTGTACACGTGTGAAAAGAAAACATTTAAAATACTCATTATGTTGATTGTACTAACTTGATTTTAATTATTTATGTATATCCCATAATGCCTCATTTACTGTTTTAACATAAACTTTCAGAAAACTTTACATACAAATAAAAGTTTTAGATCTAATAGTTGCCTTTTTAACCTATAATATCACTTTGATGTTGTGGTGTTTTCCAGTTTTTATTTAGGTACATAGCTTACTGTGAAATTATTGTTTGTCTTTATTTTCATCATTCAAGTATATAACATTCTTAAAATAAATCTCTATTGTTTTATAAATTGTGTGTTTATAAAGTTCTGGAAGTTTCTTTAAATTAGTGAAACAGCGCCCCTGACTGTGATGGTTAGATATCAGGCAGTTTCAGCGGTGAGAGGCGGTACTGCAGTTTAAACTGAAGAGACAATCGGATTGAGTCTTCCTGAGAGAAACCGGGTGAATCTGATTTTTAAAAGTATTATTTAATGAATCAAATGTAAACTATGAAGAAATATAACAATGAAGAATAGATTTAAATGAAGTCAGTCGATTTTACTGAGACAGGTAGTTAGATTTTCGGGGATGAATGGATGGCGGGAAGACAAGCATTTCTCTGTCAACAAACAACATGGCGTCACATTTTTGATTATCTGAGAGGACGGAGAAAAGCGGTTATTTCGCCATGAATTAAAAGAGATGGGACTTTACACAACGTGAGTCAGATACCCCTCTCTACCTGTCTCTTTTTGTGTTGTTGTTGCTCACCTGAGTTCTGTTTACCTGTCTGTCTCAATTGTTAACTTCCTGTGTATGTGATGTGGTTAAATTCTGTTAGTAATTTATCCTAGCTGTGGTTAGATTTGAAAACCTGTTGTGTCGTGTTGTGTTTAACTGCACCTGCACACAAATTGACTACAAGCAAAATGTCCCCCAAAAAACAAAAATATTTTAATAAAATAATTGAAATGTATAGGGTTACATGACATCCTACCAGTGTATTTATTTATCTGATGACTTAAACTCAGTATGAATCAGTTCTAAAACAATTACAATTACAATTAATGTCATTATTAATTAATTATGCAATTAATTACAATAGACAAAAAGTCAAACTAATGAAAACAATAATCTAAATTAGGAGTTCAAAAGTCACAACTGAAAGTTATTAACTAAACATGTTTAATATTCATAAAATAATAGTCAACATTTTAAGGAAATGGTAAACACTGAGATAAAGTGTAAAGAATCATGAAATAAAATAAATTACTAGATTTAAGAAAATCATGAGGTAACGAGTCAAAATCATGATTGAATAATGTCAAAATTAACTAGCTTTAGAGTTAGCATAATTTCCCGCTGAGTTCCTATGGCGTTGCTCTCTTCTTCTTCTTCTTCTTCTTCTTCTGCTCTTCTCCCTGAGTCAAGCCACAGTAATACACTGCTGAGTCGTTCAGTCTGGAGTCGTGCAGCAGCAGCGAACCGTCGACTGAAGCTGAGACTTTATCTGGACTAACACCAGGGCCGTATGTCACGTTAGAGACGTCTGAAGACCTGAAGCTGAGCAGCAGCTCTGGACTCCGACCTGCAGCCTTCCTGTACCAGCTGAGGGTGGAGGAGGCACTGAAGGAAGCACTGGAGGAGGCACTGGAGGAAGCACTGGAGGAGACACTGGAGGAAGCACTGGAGGAGACACTGGAGGAGGCATTGGAGGAGGCATTGGAGGAGACAAAGATACAAATCAAAGATACAAACTAAAAATGATAAAATTGCTATGAAATAAGAAATGAATTCAAATGAACATATATACACATATTAGATATACTGTATTTACATGTGTGTGTGAAAACAGTGTATATTTTATGTCGAGTAATTGTGTCACATTGTTCACCTCTTGTTGTGCAGCCTGTTGGCTTCAGGCTCAAAGGACTGTCCGAGGCCGATGGAGGAGGCATTGGAGGAGGCATTGGAGGAGGCATCGGAGGAGGCATCGGAGGAGGTATTGGACGAGGCATTAGAGGAGGCATTGGAGGAAGCATTGGAGGAGGCATTGGAGGAGGTATTGGACGAGGCACTAGAGGAGGCATTGGAGGAAGCATTGGAGGAGGTATTGGAGGAGACATTGGAGAAGGCGTCCATCAGGGGGCACTGCAGGATGGCATCCTCCCCATACCTCACCTGTACCGTGGAGGTCTGAAGTGCGGAAACATGCTGCTGCCAGAGGAAACCTTAAAGACAAGCCAAGGTTAGGAAAGCGTATTTATACCTTTCAACACAATGGGCTATTCAAGAGTGCTTTACCAAATGAAAAACATTAAGAGCATTCAGAGATAGTGCAGCGGAAACACATCATGACAGCACAGCAGTCAAGAAAAGTAAAGAGAAACATAAAACAAGAATAACACAGGTATAATATACATGAATAAAAGTTACAGTGCAGTTTAGGATAAGAGTAGTTCAATTAAAAGCAGCGTGATTATTTTATAAAGTTAATTCAATTTTGGAAGGTGTATTCAGACTTTTGTACCATGGTCACAAAAGTCTGAATACACTTTACAGAATGCATTTTAATTAAAATACATACAAACACAAATATTTTATAACAGAATTTAGATTAGATTTAGATTTAGATGTAATTTTGACTTTTTTTTATAACGATTTTGACTTTTCATGTCCCTATTTACATTTCACCTATTTGACATTTTTTTTATTCCGACATTTTTATTTAAAAATGTTACCTTTTTCCAATTTTGTCTGATCATCTCATGACGTTTTATTTTGTAATTTTAACAAATCTTACATCCCATAATTAAAATGTTTATATTTTATACACTAACACTGAGTGTGGTGGCGTTTTAATCCTAGTCTACATTTAATAGCCACCTCTGTCGGGGTTGTGGGTTTTGACGCGCCTCTCTTTGTTTCCAAACAATTCAGCGGAGATCGTTGTTGAATCAGATGAGCTTTATTCAATGGTCCAGACGACATACAAACAGGAGGACACATTTCTTCGCTTCATAGTAAAATAAAGTTATCAGTCTCAAAAAGAACACGGTCAAAATACTTTTCCGCTTCCCCGTCTCATCACCATCAGCTGTGTCCTATCAACCTATCATATATAGGCATATAGCCATGCATGTGATACTGACGCACATATCATAACAAATAAGTGAGCCTTAAATGAATACATTTTAAAACCATAGTGTGACTCACAAAAATACCTGATAATCAAGAGTTTAATTTATATTATTATTAAGCCTAACATTCAGACAATAATAACAAAAGGAAAATGGCTCTAACACTGAGAAAAGCCCGGTTAAATTAGCTACTCAAAACAATAAAATATATATTATGTATAAACTATATTTATCATAATACTAAAATAATGTAAGAGCCTAGTTTGACTTGAACAGAACAAATAGTGACAAGGATTAAAACATGTGTTGTAAATTATAATTAAATGAAAGAGTCCAAAACATTAGTGCATTTGAAGAGTTTAGACATGAATTATATTAATATGAATAAAACAGACTCACCTCTGACAGAGAGGAGGATCAGAAGGACCAGCACAGACTTCAATCGTTCATCGACTGACGGAGGAAACGCTGCTGTTATTGTTCTTAAAACCAACAGAGCGTTTCAAAACAACACCTGGCAGTCAAAGCTGCTTTTAGCCCACCAACGATTATTTTAATGATCAGTTTATATATCAACCATTGATATCTGTTTATCACTAAATACTAACAATACCGTCAAAATCCCCCTGACGTAGACAGCCAGTCACAGCAAACTCCATCCATAAATATATATGAATATAAATATATAGCATTATATGTTTCATGTTTGATGAAAAAAAGCAAATAAGCCTCACTTTTGTTTTGCTTTTTAAGTTTTTTTCCAGAAGGATTTATCACTGTCTTGCAATCAGCTTTAATACATTAAAGGTGGGGTAGGTATTCACTTCAGAAACACGTTTTGTTATATTCCATGGAATGCTCTTAAAGGGCCCATGTCATGCTTTTCCGGTTATTACCCGTCCCCTTGTGTGTTATGAAGGTTTTTCTGCATGTAAACGGTCTGCAGAGTCACAAACCCTCAAAGTACACCCTGTAGCGAGTAAAACTCTAACACAGAAAATACCTCCCCAAAACGCCTCGTTGGAGATACGTCATTGTCCATTTGATTCTTCCATTTCGTTCCGGGTACGGCATGATGTCAAGCCGTACCCGGAACGAAATGGACCAATCCGTGGAGCCGTTACGTTACGTTCGCGGATTGTTCCAAATTGACCAATCCACGGACTTCCTCACACACACTCTATGTGCAGGGAGCAGGCAGCTCAGCTGATTTCTCCTCCCTGGCTGCAGGCTGATAACAGACAGTTGGGATCGCCGAAATTCTCTCTGCAGACCCATTCTCTCAGCGTTTATCAACCTTTTTCTTACTCAATATCAAGCCACACTTATTGTTTTTACTTCGGCTGTGACTTTGTGTGTGCTCAGGATGAGTTTGGCTGTGTTTGGCTGTGTATCGCTAACAAGGAAACAACACCTCCACGGAGCTCAGCGCGATTCACAACGTCCCGACCAATCAGAGCACACTGTGCTCACAGGGAGGGTGGGGGGCTGAAGCTATTGGAGCTACAACGAGCCGTTAAAGGCAGAGAGTGAAATTCAGTGAATACACGTAGTATACAGAGATGCTGTATGAGAAACCAATGTGAGTTTGGAAAATTGCACAATATAAATCTATTCTAGTAGACCTCAACAATGGAATTATGATCAGTGGAAATGGCCATGACATGGGCCCTTTAACATCCCGATAGCAATGAATACATGAAATGCTTTGACAATAAATATATACAAATATTTCATCTGTGGAAGCCGTGGCGCTGTAAAAAAGCACGACCAATCATCTGAGCCGGCCCGGCTAAAATAACTGGATGGCCTACCTGCCTGTCAGCCTTCCATCTGTGCACAAACTTATCTCGTGCCCTCATTGGTCATGTGTGCGTTCGTGTGTGTTGGAGGAGGGGCTCTGTGAGGAAGTCTGAAGGAAGGGGCAGATTTTTTTCGGTCGTGTATTTTCAAATTCTAGCGCACTCGAGCTGGTTTCTCCATTCTTACCTACCCTACCTTTAATGTTTTAATGTTTTAATTGTATCCCAAAATATGATTATTATTTATATACTTTTAATGTATTTTCAATGTATTAGTTTATTCATTTTTTGGCTGTGTTTTTTTATCCATATTTTATTTATTTATATTCTTTGTCTTCTTCACTTAAAAAGAAAACTACCTTAAAATATAAAGCACACGCCAAGGCATAATTTACTTTTACTGTATGTTACATTTTTTGTGGGGGATTCTCAATATAGGACATGTATGGAAGAAACTGAATCAATTAATAAAAAGTAAAAAAAGCAAATAATTATTAATAACTATAGAATTCCTTCGACTAACTTGACAGATCACATGCAAAGTGTATAAGATATTTCAGCAGGGGGCGGTGTGGACTCATCACTGGATATCAGTCAGATGATGATGATGTGATGTAATTAGATGTTAAAGCCTCATGGGGGCGCTACAGACACCTCAGACAGAAATAACTTCTAAATCGAACTGAGGAGACAACTGAGGCAGCAGATATAAATCACCAGACACTCCTCACTCTGTTGCAACTCTGAGATGTTGTCAGCAGGATTTTTGTGAAACAGAAACAGGTTTGTTCTGTTATTGAGCAAGTGATGCTTCAATATCAACTGTAAAACACTGCCGTACCAATCAGCAGAGGTGGAAAAAGTACATTTACTTAAAGCTTCAGGGTAAAAATACTCAGTTAAAGAACAAGTCCTGCATTCAAAATGTTACTTAAGTAGAAGTAGACAAGTATGAGCAACGAAATATACTTTAAGTACCAAAAGTAAATGTACTCATTATGCAGAATAGCCCATTAAGCACCATATATTTTAAATTATTGTATTAAAGTTATTGTTGCATTAATGTGTTCATCAATTCAATGTCGCATTTGGTAAAAGTGGAGTTAATTTGAAGTATTTTATATACTATATAGGTTGATTTCTGTTTTGTATTAATAACCTCAATCTGCAAAGTAACTTGTAGGTAAATATGTAAAATAAATGTAATGGGGAAAAGTATTAATGTGAAAATATTCAAAGTACAAGTACCTTAATCTTTTACTTAAGTATAATACTTGAGTAAATGTCTTAGCTACATTTCACCACTGTGAATCACTCACATAATACTTTTTCCAATGAAGGGGATCCAACAACTTTGATATAAAGTAATCTGCAACTATTTGGACATTTGCTTTATGAATCCAGTTTGCAGCACGTTAGCTCCTGCAGCTACACTAATGCTAATGTCTTATTTCCTGTCCTCACCTGAACTTCCTGTATTTGTGGAGAGGAAGCAGGGGTCAGTAGAGCTGCAGAGGTTTGCGTGTGAAGAGACTTTGAAATATAAATTGAAGATGCTGATAAGCGGTTTCCTGCTCGTTTCGTAGAAGTGATGAGTGTTTCTTTTTGCAGCAGGTTTGAAGGAATGTTGTCCTGCACGACACATTTTTCATCTGAATCTCATCAGTGTGTCTCAGCTCCTGCAGCTGTGAGCATCTTAAAGTTAAAACAGTTGTGACTTTATGCTGCACGCAGATTTAAATGCTGATATCTGGCGTTCCTAGTGAGGGAGGTGTGTGGCGCAGTGGGCTAGTGCGGTGGTGTGGGGATCAGGATCAGGGGGTCACAGGTTCAAACCCCACTGCAGTCAGGCATGTCGTTGTGTCCCTGAGACACTTCACCCCAAATTGCTCCTGTGGGGATTGCCCACAGTATTGAGTATGTAAGTCGCTTTGGATAAAAGCATCTAACAAGTGACATGTAATGTAATGAGGGATAACAAAGTGATAAAACCAGTTGGGATTATAAATAGGGGTTGAAACTAATACCATATCTTTTCATAATTGTTGAAAAATAAATCATTTAGTTACAGTTCAGTCTATTAAATGATCCTATATTTGTCAAATATAGTCTTCACAGATCCACATTTTAGACTTTAAATATATGTTTTGTTTGACCTAAGTCCAAATACCCAAATTCTTTCAGGTTAATAATGATTTAGTCAAAGAAAAACCCCACTATCACTAAATCAACACGAGTGGGTAAGAGGGAAATTGTTCCTGTCAGTTGTTACTAATGTTTTATCAATGTGAATCTGTTAAATTGTAGCTTTGAATTTTTATACATTTTTTGGGGGGTATTTTAGCCCAATAATTATAATAATAATAATAATAATTATAATAATAATTATTAATGATAATAATAATAATTATTATTATTGTAATGCTATATACATTATTATTATTATAATTCTCAATATTTTAATTGTATATACTATTATTATTATTATTTTAATTGTGTATATATTATTATTTTAGTTTTATATATTAGTATTATTAGTATATTATTATTAATTTTATTTTTCCAATTACTTTTTTTATTGCTTATTTCTTTATTTTTTATATAACCTTTTTGGTAGTTTATTTTGGTATTGCTGTAATTGCCTAATTTTTTGTAATTTCCTTTTTCAATCATGTAAAGCACTTTCTATCTTCTGTTATTGTATCTATCTTTTTTTTCATTTTAAAATGGAGCAACTGTTGCATCACCCAAATTCCCCCGTGACAGAAAACATTCTCAATATGATAATCACATTAACAGTTAAGTGTGAAAGTGCAGTGTGTTGGGGTGTGGTGAAGAGGTGTGTCCCGAGGAAGAGGGGGGGGTTCAACTCTGAGAGATCCCTGTAGCTTTACCGCGGTACAGATGTTTATACAGACATGTTGTTTGGCTGTTTCCACGGTGCCAGTTGTGAGCTGGCAGCAGGTCAGGAAAAAGTGAGCGCTGAAGAGGAATGAAGCTGAGAGAATCAGAAACCAGAAAACAGAAACACACTTTTCTGTCTTTCTGTGTTTCTGCTTCTCTTAAGTTCTGCTTCTTAAGGTTAGTTTACAGTAGCACAAAGGAAATAAAGCCCAAAAATGTCAAACAAAATAAATGAAACACAAACATTGAAGTTAGTCTGAGCCTCAACTTTTTTTTTTTTTTAAAGTCACGCTGCTGCCAAGGATCCACATAGTTTGTACTTCAGAGTTCATCCAGGTTCATATCCCTGTGAGGCTGGGAAATAGAAACAGAAAGCCTCAGTGTTCCCCCCCCCCCCCCCCCCCAACACACACACACACACACACACACACACCACAGACACTGCACCGCACCACCGCACTGCACGCACACACAAACACAGGGCGTCTTATAACGTCAGAGGAACTGTCAGACATTCTTCACACACACACACACACACACACACACACACACACACACACACACACACACACACACACACACACTGCATGCACACCGCACTGCACGCACACACAAACACAGGGCGTCCTGTAACGTCAGAGGAACTGTCAGACATTCTTCACACACACACACACACACACACACACACACACCACACACACACACACACACACACACACACACACACACACACACACACACACACACACACACACACACACACACACACAACACACACACACACACACACACCACTCACTATGTGCACACAGCACACAGGCTGCACATGGAAAGTTTCGTTTATGTGTAAAGTGTGTGTGTGACTTTCCTGTTGATCACGGCGTCCTCTTGGCATGATAACACTGACAAGGACTGCAGATGGAAATGAGCCATTAGCTAAAATCTGGCATAATTCATCTCTTCTCTTTTACTGAGATTAATGTATTTGTATGCATGGTCCTTGTTGAAATAAATACATAATAATAACTTGGAGGGGGAGGAGGAGGAGGGGGAGTAGTTTAGGGTGGGGAGGCTCCAGGAGGTGGCCGAAAAGTGGGTGAGGCAGAGGAGGTGTGGCTGAATTTTGACATTTTTCCCTGCCCAGCTAGAAGGGAAAGTCCAGCTCACTTCACCCTGAGCGAGGCAAAGTGAGAGCAGCTCTACTTCTTCATCTTCCATCTCCATCATCCTCCTCCACCTCCTTCTCTAATGGCGGGCCGCCTCCAATCCTCGCAGACGGCGAAGAAACGTGGTCCTCGCGCTGCTGGCTCTGTGGTCCGTTGTGTCGTTGATAATCATCGTGGTGTGGGGCGACGTCTCCCGACCTGAAGAGCTCTGCTCTGTGTCGGGCTGAGCTGCAGGAGGTCACGGAGAAACTGGAAGGAGCCAAGGTGGTTTACGGCAAGAACAAAGTGGCCCTGGAGGAGCAGCTGGTGGAGACCAGGGAGCAGAGGGACATCCTGAGAGCAGACCTCTGGTGATGGGGGGAGGACTCAACGCCACTAACGCCACGCTGGAGGAGTGCCGGCTGGAGAACGTGAGTTTGTTTTACCTCCTCCTGACATAATGTGGTTCTCACACACATGTGGGAAGTGTTCTATGGAAGCTAAACTCTGCCAGTGTGAGGACTGAAGTGCTGCCCACTGCTCCTAGTACTAAGATGGGTTAAATGCAGAGACTACATTTCACTGTGTGTGCTGTGTGCATGAACATGTGTGACCATTAAGAGGGTTTCATCCTCCAATTTCTATAATGAGGAGACACTTTATACAAGTTAGTGTCACATAATTGCAAAACTTAGTTATTTATTGGAGATACTTAGTAGTTATTTTAATACACTAAGGTATCTCGAAGAAAATTACTTATTGTTTTTAGATACTTTCAACAACTTGAGTTTGTTTTACCTCCTCCTGACATGATGTGGTTCTCACACACATGTGGGAAGTGTTCTATGGAAGCTAAACTCTGCCAACGTGAGGACTGAAGTTACTTTATAAAAGTTAGTATCACATAATTGCAAAATTGAGTTAATTATTGGAGATTCTTAGTAGTTATTTTAATACACTAAGGTGTTCCGAAGAAGGTTTCATATTATTTTGCAATACTTACTGTTTTTGGATACTTTCAACAACTTGAGAATTCTTTTGGAGGAAGTTTTGTCATTATTCTTAATGAATTAAGTCAATAATTTAAGTCATTAATTGGAAACTTTTCTTATAAATTGGAGATGAAGTCATGATTTTAAGGAAGTTTCTCATTTTTGCAATAATTTAGTCATTATTTATGAGTTTTGTTTCCCCCCCCTGACATGATGTGGTTCACACACACCATGTGGGAAGTGTTGCTATGGAAGCTAAAACTCTGCCACGTGAGGACTGAAGTCACAATGAGGAGAAACTTTATACAAGTTAGTATCACATATTGCAAAACTTAGTTATTTATAGGAGATACTTAGTAGTTATTTTAGTACACTAAGGTATCATCGAAGAAAGTTACTTACTTATGGGTGTTTAGAGACTTTCAACAACTGGAGTTTTGTTTCACACCTCCGCCATGACATGATGTGGTTCTCACACACATCGTGGGGAATGTGTCCTATTGAAGCTAAACTTCTGCCAACGTGAGGAGGGACTGAAGCTTACTTTATAAAAGTTAGTATCACATAAAAATGAAAAAACATAGTTATCATGGAGAATACTAGTTGTTATATTATACACTAAAGTATCTCGAGGAAAATGTCATATTGAATTGTAATACTTCAATAATCTGTCATTACTTTTGATGTATTAAGTCAATATTTAAGTCATTCATTGAAAACTTTTCTTATACATTGGAGATGAAGTCCAGATTTTTTGAAGTTATGTTAAGTTCCTCATTTTTCAATACTTAGTCATTATTGGGAGTTATTGTTATTATTGTTGAGGTTCTCACACACATGTGGGAAGTGTTGCTATGGAAGCTAAACTCTGCCAGTGTGAGGACTGAAGTCATTATGATGAGATAGATGAGTTAGTATCACATCATTGAAGAAACTTAGTAAATTATAGGAGATACACTATTTGAATACACTAATTTATCTTGAATAAAGTTTCATATTATTTAGCAATACTTATTGTTTTTAGATACTTGGTCATCATTTGAGAAAGTAGGTATTATTTTGAGAAAGTTTGTGATTATTTTTGATGTTTTAAGTCATATTTAAGTCATTATTTGGAAAACTTTTCTTGTTAATTGGAGATTAAGTCATGATTTTAAGGAAGTTTCTCTTTTGGCAATACTTCGTCATTATTTTGGGAGTTATTGTTATTATTTTGAGGAACTAACTCAAGATACTAAGCCACCAACGCCACGCTGGAGGAGTGCCGGCAGGAAAATGTGGTTCACACACACATGTGGGAAGTGTTGCTATGGAAGCAGGACTCTGCCAGTGTGAGGACTGACGTCATCATGAGGAGAGACTTTATGAAATGTATGAGTTATAATCCCAAAATGCAATACTACGTTAGTATTTGAGATGCCATAGTTATTTTGACATAGCCACTAATGCAGTACCGATTGTTCAAGGTACTAAGTCATTATTTAGAGAACATTCTCATCATTTTTAGCCCCCAAAGTCATAATATGGACTCTTTAAAGGGGACCTATCATGCAAAATGCACTTTTTGATGTCTTTATACATAAATACTAGGGCTGTCAAGTTAACGCGTTAATAACGCGTTAACGCAAAAAAAATTAACGCCACTAATTATTTTAACGCGATTAACGCATGTGTATTTTTTGTCCTCGGCCGCCGTAGTTTCAGAGCGCATCGAGTTTAAAATACCATCTACAAGCTGATGCTGACAGCCCCGCTGCTGCCCGCTTGTGGCAGACCACACTTCCACGTTCACCGGCAGGCCCGGACTGGCCATCGGGAGGACCGGGAGGGTGTGTGTATGTGTGGCGCGAGCGAAGCACACCTTACGTGTTGTTGTTAGCATCTGGTGCTAGCTAGCTGAGCTAACGAATATAAGGAGCTGTTTCAATGAAAACAGAGGAGCGACATTTCGCCGACAACTGCGCCGAGCACTTGACTTTATGCAGGTAGCCAGACAGCACACTCAGCACGGATAGTGCGCGCAACACAGCTCATACACACAGCATATATGCCTTGAGCTGCACATAGCTCCAAAACACCCACACACACACACACACACACTTACACACACAACCACACACACACCACACACACACACACACACACACACACACACACACACACCAACACACACACCAACACACAGTATTATTGTATGAGAGAGGTTCCAGGTTGAATTGAGGCGAATATTTGTAATGTTCAGAGGTTGTTGTGTTTAATATTCATGAGAATATTTGTCATTGTTCAAATGATAATAAACACATATAAAGCATAGTTGTCCACTCATATGTTGATAAGAGTATTAAAAACTTGAAAAATATCCCTCTAAGGTACATTTAGAACAGATAAAAATGTGCGATTAATTTGCGATTAATCAAGGTTTCAAGGTTCAAGGTTTCAAGGTTCTTTATTGTCAATCTGACATAGCTACAGAGTAATTATGCAGTTGAAAATCTCTATGTCACAGGCTTCTCCAACAATGCAACATAATAACATACATAATAACAATAAGAGCAAGAGCAATACAAAAATAATAATAGTTATAAAAATGAAATAAAGTTATGATGTGGGAATAGTGGCAGTATGAGTCTATATACAAGTTATTGGAATGATATATATATATTAGGTATTAGATACATACTACTGAGTAGCAGGTTGAATGTTTGAAGTTGTTTCAACAGTTCAATTTTTTTAACAGTCTCACTTGCCCGCGGGAAGAAGAAACTGTCTCCGAATCTTCTTTGTCCTTGCCAGGGATGCTGCGGTGACGTCTACAGACGGCAACAGAAAGAACAGTTTGTGGCTGGGGTGATGGGGGGTCTTTGATAATCCGTAGTGATTTCTTCCTGAGCCGCTGGGAGTTAAAGGTCCTCCATGGATGGCAGCTCCGTCCTGGTGATGTGCTGTGCAGTTTTCACCACCTCTTTAAAGCCTTACGATCGAGGGTCGGTGCAGCTGCCGTACCAGGCCGTCATGCTGCCAGTGAGGATACTCTCTATCGTGCACCTGTAGAAGTTGCAGAGTATCCTGGAATCCATTTTGAACCTCCTCAACCTGCGGAGGAAGAAGAGCCGCTGTCGAGCTTTCTTGGTGATGGTGGTGGTGTGAAGAGACCATGTCAGGTCCTCAGTGATGTGGACCCCAAGGAACCTGAAGCTTTTGACTCTCTCCACCGTAGTCCCATTGATGGCGATGGGGGCGTGTCCCTCTCCCTGCTGCTTCCTGTAATCCACAATCAGCTCCTTTGTTTTGCTGATGTTGAGATGGAGGTTGTTCTCCTGGCACCAAGATGTCAGGTTTTTCGACCTCCTCTCTGTACGCCGTCTCGTCATCGTCTGTGATCTGGCCGATGACGGTCGTGTCATCAGCAAACTTCACGATGGTGTTGGAGCTGTGTGTGGCCACGCAGTCGTGGGTGAACAGGGAGTAGAGGAGAGGGCTGAGCACGCAGCCTTGAGGGGCACCGGTTGGTTGAGAATCAGGGTGGGATGGATGTGATATTTCCCACCCGCACTGCCTGGGGTCTGCCCCGTCAGGAAGTTCAGGATCCAGTCACAGAGGGCGCTGTTGAGCCCGAGGTCTCTGAGCTTGATGGCCAGCTTGGAGGGCACAATGGTGTGAATGCTGAACTGTAGTCAATGAACAGCATTCTCACATATGTGTTCCTGTCTTCGGGTCCAGGTGTGAGAGGGCAGTGTGGAGGGTGAGGGCTATGGCGTCGTCTGTGGACCTGTTTGCTCTGTAGGCAAACTGCAGGGGGGTCCAGAGATTCAGGGAGGGAGGGAGGTGATGAATAATTTGGCTAACCGCTCAAAGCACTTCATTATGATGGAGGTGAGTGCTACTGGGCGGTAGTCGTTGGGGGCAGGTGATGATTGTCTTTTTGGGGACAGGAATGATGGTGGAGTGTTTAAGACATGTGGGGACTACAGACTGCAGCAGGGACCTGTTGAAGATGTCTGTGAACACCTCTGCCAGCTGAACTGCACACACCCTGAGAACACGGCCAGGGATGCCATCAGGTCCAGGAGCCTTGTGTGGGTTAACCCTTTTAAAGGATTTACACACATCTTGCCCTATTTAAAACAAAAGGGCAGTGTAGCTCCTGGTCCCTCTGTACCTCCACAGCCTGGCTGCTCTCAAAGCGTGCAAAAAAACTGTTTAGCTCATCTGGGAGAGATGCGCACGCAGACACTCCCGCAGCACCCCCCGCTGCTCCTTTGTAGTCATGTCATTGTCCTTAGTCCCGCCCACATATTCCTAGTGTTACAGCCTTTGAAGTCAGATTCCACCTTGTCTTTGTACTGTCTCTTTGCATTTTTTATTGCTCTCCGGAGATCATACCTAGACTTCCTGTACTCCTCCAAATCTCCCGCTGTGTGCGCGAGAGTGCGCGCTTT